ATCGCCACAAGAGGACGTAAATGTTAAAGTCTATTCATAGATATAAGAAAGTGACCAACTGATACGAATTAAGGATAGACCCGGGCAAGCTGTAAGAATGAAATATGACAGAACAGGTCCGTACTTTGCTTAGAATTTAATTATTTTGGGTTTTGTTAGGAAAGATACTAAACAATATTTATCTAAATCTAAAATCCATGTGTTGAATACACTTCCATAAGGTAGTTTTGCCACATTTAACACGGTAGGCACGCTTTGTTCCTCCTATAACTGGTAAATGTTGCGCCGTATTATATCTTGATCAATTTCATCTACACTCGAGAAAATGTCAGCATCGCTTCTTTTTTTCCTCGCAGAAATGGAATTATTCCCAATTTTCCATACAGTTGATGTTGGAATTTTCGTCCATGTGGCCGTTTCTTCGAAAGATGCTTGCTTGCTGGCACCACGTTCAATGAGACTCAAATAAACATTGTTTATAACTTCCTTAGTCTCAATAGAATAGTGTTTTCTACATTTGGGCGGGAGCATCTCCTAAGATACACTAGACTCGCACATATTTTGCATAATTCGCACACGATTCAACACACGCTGTATTACACACGAAATAAGAATGATTACTAATAAACTTGAATTAAGTAGTATACCAAACCAAGGAATATTAAACACAGGTAGGTATAAAATTATTTTGTATTACGGACCACAATTTTACCTGAATTTAAATTCCGAAACTTTAAGTAATGGCCACCCTTGGATAATCCCATTCAAAAGCAATTGGTCACTTTCTTATATCTATCAACAGACTATACCTTGAATTTTAAAACTTGGTTTCTACTTCAAATTCAAATAATTTTTGTTTCTAGCTCTATTTCTGCAAATGTGAATATCCATATCTCCATATTGTTAGGCGTTAAAAAATACTTTTCCCAGGCAATCAATGGGACTATGAGTGACGCGTCTGCGATTGCTTGCTTTGCCACCAGGTGGCGTTTTCTGACATAATCGAAAAAAAAATCCGCAAAAACAATAATCTCAACGATATGACTTTTTTATGCCATTATATAGTCAAGTAGGCGCCTAACACCCCGGTGAAAACTGCATCTCAATATCATTATCCCAACCTGAAATCTGAATAAATCAATTTAACGCTCAAAACAAAAAAGTTTGATTTTGGGAAAATTGTCTACTTTACAGGTCAAAATGTCAAAAAATAGATTGTTATTATTCATCTTCACAACTTTCTTTGCAATTCCTTCGAATGCCAACAAATTCGCTATAGCTGTCATTAATATCTTTTGACAGGCTCTGCTTAGTACTACCACTTATTTTTTCATTAAAAATTATTTTTTATTATAAACTTTGTCACAAATTGGCGATTAATTTCATTAACCATTGACGTATTTAAGTAGCAAAATGTGGAAAACTATTTTTTCTACTCCCGTCTGTAAAGTACCTAATTACCCACCGATGTAGCGTGCCGGAAACGTCACTTTACCACGTCAGTTTCGTTTCGCACGGATCCGAGCCACTTCGGACATTTCCGGGATTTTAAGCGCACAGGTTTGGGAGCAATCGGATGTTCTCGGAGATATTGCCCACGCCTTGAATTTTGACGTTTGTCAATTCTGACTATTTAAAAAGTAAACAATATATCTCTTTTGAGAGAAACGATTGTTTTTTCATTAAAAATAACGTTTTATCACTAACTCTGTCACTAATAAGTTGCTGGCGACTAATTTTATTAATTATTGACGTATTTAAGTAGTAAAATGTTTAAAACTTTTTAAACAATGAATAATATATCCTTCTTGATAGAAACAATTCATTTCTAATTGTCAAGATTACCACTGCCAAGTTCTTTTAATTATATTGTAGGTTAAACTAATATTTTTGCGATTATGTGAGAAAACGCCACTCCAAGTTTATGAAAACGAGTCAAGCTTTTTTGGAGATATTGAGATTTATTCAAGAAAAAACGAAAAATATTTGTACCACCTTTAAGGCAAACATTCTTATAGAAGCCCAGTTTCAAAACTCAAGACAGCAATTACGCCCCCTTTTGAGCATTTCAGAAAGTTGTAAATGATTTCCACCATTTTCTGGTGGTCGATGGTATCTCGTTTCCCTTAGTGGGGCACCTGGTATATATACAGGGTGTTATCCAAATGACATTATACAATTTATCGAGTCAATCTGGACGGCGCCCTGATGCCGAAACGATATTTTAGTACATCCCAATGTTGCGAACCGATCGGGAAATATTTCAAGTTATTGCATGGATATTTATCTGGTCTATACACGGTTATTACCGAATTCAACCGATTTTGATTAATTAGAATCGGGAAAAAAATCAATCTTCTACTATATATTCCAATCAACCTTTACAAAATGTGCAAATAAACAGTTATAGTTTATTCAAAACTGTCAAACGAGAGTTTGAAAGCTTCTTATTAAAAGCTTACAAAAGCTCTTGGCTAATTTTGCAACAACTCACGTAGTCGATAATTACAAACACCTCGTTTATCGAAACCCACAAGTTTAATTAATAGACGCATAAAGAATGTTTGTAAATATTTACTTACTCATTCACAGGATATATAATGGAATTTATTTACTTACGATAATTACCTTTCTATAATGGTTGCTTGGTCAAAACAGGATCTGGAAAATTTGCGCATCAAATTTCATATGCAAATTTGACAGACATTTTAAGCAAATAGTCTGTAGTGTTAAACGGCTGCTGTTATTATGTATATTTATTTTTGAAGCACGTGGTCATTATTTAATCTAAATCAAATTATTATTTGCCCAGAGTTATATATCTATATGGCCTATCAAAAAATGTTTAATATAATACGACCGGCGATATATCGATCTAATTAAAAATGTATCTTTACTTGACTACCGCTGAGATTCAGCATCTCACAACAACTGAAGTGCAAAATAAAAAATAATTACTCACAATCACAAGTAAAATTATCGGTGTTACCGACGTAGTTTGGAAAAGTTTATTGCAATAGTTATATACATATATTATATATATAGATTTTGATTTAAAAGTTAGTTAATCGTTTGTTCTATTTGAGACAATGCTTCTGTGGTACGAGGTTAACGCCAAAATTTCCCGGCCCGACATAGATGCAGCTCCAGTATCACGATAACACTTTGTCTTGTTTTAAATATGTATCTTAGTAGGCTGCGAAAAAAAAATTGAAGTCTTGCGTCAAATGGTTTTTTATTGACAGCATTCTAAACAAGACGTGTCCGAAAAATGTCGCACATAACGCAAATTGAGTATAGAGCAGTCATAAAGTTTTTGACAAAAGAGGGGTTAGCACCTAAAATTATTAAAGAAAGGCTGGATGTTGTGCACCTACGGCCAAAGTTCTCCTTCGTATTCTGTAGCCAAAGAATGGGCAAAACGTTTTCGAATGGGGCAGAAGTCCCTTGAAGATGATTCACTGGTTGACCAGTGAAGGTCATAAAGGAAGATATTGTTGCGATTGTGGAAGAGGTGGTATTGAGTGATCGACGTTTAAAGGTCCAGGAAATCTCAGAAATTACTAAGCTTTCTGATACAAGTGTTCGTCGAATCCTGCATGATCATTTAGGTATGCATAAGGTTAGTGCAAGATGGGTTCCTAAAAACCTTTCGGCTATTCAAAAACAACGCCGTGTCGAGTGTGCGCGGTCTTTTTTGGAACTCTGTGAGTCGGAACCGAAGCCTGTGATAGAAACTATTGTGACGGGAGATGAAACTATGGTTCTCTATTATGACCCTCTATCGAAAAAAGAATCAATGGAGTGGTGTCGTAAGGGTGAAGCACCTCCAAAAAAATTCACAGTCTGCCAGTCAACAAAAAAGGTGATGGCCACGATCTTTTGGGATTGTGAAGGAATTCTTTTGATAGATTTTAAAGAAACTAATACCACTGTCAATGGTAAATATTATGCAACATTGTTACATAAATTGCGAGACTGCATACGTGTAAAACGTCGAGGAAAACTGACCAGAGGCGTGCGTCTTTTACACGATAATGCACCTGTCCATACTGCTGGCGTTGCACAAGCTGCCATTTTAGAGTGTGGGTTCCAACAGATAGATCATCCTCCCTATAGTCCAGATATGGCCCCAGCAACTATTATTTGTTTGAATATTTGAAAAAGGACTTACGTGGACGGCGGTTTAACGACGAAGTTGAGTTAAAAGAGGCTGTTTTAGCTCATTTTGTAGACAAACCAAAAGAATATTTTTTTGAAGGGACTGAGTTGTTAATGAAGAGATGTAATAAATGTATTGAAGTTAAGGGGGATTATATTGAAAAATAATAAAAAATTGTTACTTTACTTTGTTTCTTTCATATTCAGGCGGGGAAATTTTGGCACTGCGCTCGTATATTTAATCCTGACGGAGAATGCAGAATGTTGCGAACAAAAACTGGTACTTTTTGTGGCGTATTGTAATAGTAATAGTAAAAAATTCCGTACAACTTGTCACAAAAGCAATTTCTCTCTCTAAAGAATTCCTATTCTTTGGTGCTTTTAAAATATCTCGTGTGAAAAATCACCTTTTTACCGCTTGTAAAAAAAATCCCTTTTTTTAGTATCTATGTGAGTAGAGGCTACTCGCTGGGTTCTAATGGCAATGAAAAATAATAAGTTCACTAGATTTCTGGTTCCACTATATTTTATAGTTCATTTTTTTGTACAATGTAATCTTCTAGATCAAAGCTTAAGGTTAGGCAAAGTTTGTATCTAAAAATTGAGAAGAAAAATTAAAGATCACTATTATCCCATTTAAAACTCACTTATTTATTGTTACCTTATATTTTTAATTAATTTCGTTCTTTATGCTTATCTCACTGTTAAAAACACAAAAAAATCGTTACAGCAAAGTTCAAACATGGTTATAGCCACAGAACAATGTATAGTGTAGTCGTTAGCAGAGATCAAAACAAAGGGACCTCCTAGACACTGCGGTCACAATACATTTTTTGCAGGACGATTTGGAACCTCTGCGGCAATTATGCTACCCCGACACCGACGTATTCATGCTGTGCTTTTCGGTGGTACGACCTAGTACCTTCATCTCCGCTTGTACGCGATGGGCCGACGAGCTTACACGATTAGATGCACCGGTGGTTCTGGTTGGATGCCAAACCGATCTGGTGAACAATATGGACACGTTAAACAGCCTAAAGAGACAAGTAATTATTAAAATATTATTTTGATGCTGCAATATTAAATTAGGTATTTCTGCGGTGTACCTGTATAGTAGATGGAATTGCCAGTTGCTTCAGCCATAGTTTTTTTATAGTAATTTTTCGTGCTTCTTTGCCAAATCTTCAATTGTCATTTCCGTCATTCAAATATTCTCCAAATTCTTAAGTCTTGTTACTTTCGAAAAATCGAAAAAATTACTGGGAGGTCGGCAAGTATTTTAAAAAATTTAAAAAACGCGTTTGCATGGACATAAAAAAAAATCATTTCTAGAAAACGGTTTACGAGATTAAAAAAATTGTGTAGCAAAAGATCCGCAAGACCCAATGCTATAAACTTGTATTCTTGACAATTTTTAAAAATGTACAGTGTGTGGCCAGTATTGGCAAAAAATTCAAAATGGAGTTTCTTTTTTAATGAAAATTTGTTTTCCACCAAAATATAGTTTTCATTTTTGCATTTAAGGTTTTTACCTTCACCAATATTATAAAACATAGTAGGTGCCCTAAATATGCAGCTACCAACTTCAGATTTAGCAGAGAAGCACAAGTCAAGACCCACATTTAAACCATTAAAGTTGAGTGCGATCAAGTAGCGCAAAGTATTTTTTTTTTATTTTTTATTTTTTTTTTTGGTTATTTTGGCTTCCAGAAAAACATGTTTTTTTTCATAACCATTCACCCGATCAGCAAAATAATTTAACCAACAAACGCGGAAGATATAGTGCATTTATTTATTTCAGGCATTTTTTAGATTATATACAGGGTTTTCCAATTATAAACAAAAATCTAAAAAACCCAGAAAATTGTTCTTTTCTAGAGTAGATTATTAACCTTCAAATTAAAAATTTTTAGATACATTCTTGGACCAGTAATCGTGGAAGGTTTAGGGTTATAACATCCATTTCCGGATTTTTTCAAATATGTACAGGGTGATAAATTGGTTAAGGCTTTCACGGCCCGTTGATAAGCTATTATCTTGATTGATGAAAGTTTTTGTATTTATAATGGGCTATTGTTAGAATTACAGGAAAATTATTTAAATTCCCCCTGGTCCAATTATAAGCACCAATATGTCTAAAACTGAACATAGGATCCAATTTAAACCCATTAAGTCGTTTGTTCAGACCGTCAAATGCTACGAACATACAACAAGTACAATTAAATGACCATAATTTTAACGTTTTATATAATTTCCTGGTTAAATCGAAGAAATATAACAGTTTGACAAAGTGGCAGCTGTGCCATTTAGTCAAGTACCTAAAATACAGGTTTACCTTAAACTATTTTAGAGTTTGCTGTCGTTACCATTGTTTATTTTTATTGACCAGCGTTTGTTTTTAACCGCGACATAACCTACTCTTCTTTTTTCTGAACCACGACCATAACATATTACCACAGACCACAAACGTTAAAACTAACCACGGAACGTTTATTTCAACGAAACGTTAGCGGTCGCGCAATGTTAATAAATTAAAGCGAAATTGTTTTTCTCCAGGGCCAGTTGCCGGTACCGCCCTACAAAGCGAGAGACTTAGCAAGAAGACTGAACGCCGTTTACGTAGAGACGTCGGCTAAAACGTGTAACCACCTAAAGGAGGCTTTCGACCAAGCGATCATCGTAGCGTTGAAACGCAGACAGTACGAGCGGCAAAAGTGGTGGACGAAGCTGTGCTGTTGGAAGGGGCGGCGTTAATCCCGTACATACGAAACGCCTTTTCATTATATTAATTAAGTGTGATATATAGAAAAACGTCGCGACGCTCGTTTAAGAGTTTTAAGGTCTGACGCCCACGCGCGGTTGTCGATGGACCAAGTGAAAGGACATTAACTGATAGGGTAAAATAGGCATCGTCTGTACTGGTGACGTAAGAATACATAATTACATCCTCAATACGTACGTATTCTATGATTCCAAATCAGTTGATTTCGATATTTCTGGATTTTGAATACTTCTAGCCGTGGAAACTTGCATCAATTCGATGCAAAAAACTATTTGCCTACCGTGATTTTTTATTTTTACTTATTTTTCGTTAGCAATTGTACCGCAAGAAAAAAATCATTTTGTTTACAAAACTAAAAAAAGTATTTTAATTTAATTAGGCAAATTTTTGAGTGATAAGTAAAAATTGTTATTGTTGGATAATGTTTTTTATTGCACCTTTTCATCTTTTAAGTATTTATAGAAAAATAGAAAAAAAAACTGAGCTGTTTAAATTCTTGCAGATATCCATCACGTTTCAACTAGAACTCGACTGGTAAAACAATATGATTGGATTTAACTAAATAACATGGTGAGACTGGCGCCCTGTATATCCAAATAAGGTTCAAATTCATTAAAAAAAACACAACTGTCCATTTTTATTATTATGTTATAAAAACTTTCTTTAATAATAAAAATAAATCTGAATAAATTAAATTATTGAACGCCCTTTATGTTTGAAACCATAATATTTTGGTTAGTTTTGCTGTCTCCAATTTACTTATGTCAGAAATTCTGACTTGTTCGTCAGAAATTTTTACTTATTCCTGAAAAATTTGCCTAAGTAAATTAAAACCAATTTTTTAACGTATTGAAGATGTATTTGGTAAGACACTCTGCTCTGACATTTCCTTATACTACAAGTTCAATTGGAAAATTTTTAGAGCAGAAATGAGGCACAGAAGCGGAATATCATCCAACCTCCCCTGTGGTATCCTCAGTTTTAGGACAATTTCTAGTAGGTGAATTCGTAATTCGGATTTGTAACATCACATTGTCGCGATCAAAATCAGAAAACTGCAAGATTTTAAATCAGACTGATTGTGAGTGTTTTTTTTATTATATAATATAAAACACTTTTTTATGTAATTTTATTTTCTCAAGTGTGTAACTGTATATTGTAATTGTAGCAATTAGAGTATAAACACAGCATTGATTTTATAGAATTGTTTTGTTTTCGAGAACTCATTAAATAAATAAGCATATCGTAGCTGAAACTGTGTCTTACCCAACAATATGACGGACTCAACTCCCTCTGGACGCACTGTTCAGTAAAATACTCTATAAAATCCGACATTTGTGTTCAGTTTGCGACTCCCTATCGCGGATAGAAATAGAAACATCTACTACAAAATATTTGAGAATGATAATATTTAAGAACATTTAATATCAGTTTTAGTTAGCTATAATTTCTTAACTTTTTAATAAAAATAATTTGTAATAGAAAGCGGCGTGTTTCATTACTTTTACCCTAAACGATTTAAAAATCGACGCGCCTTCGCCATTGGTCTTTTATCGAATCACGTGACACAAGTCACGTCACGCACGTAATTTAAACAGGGGTAGCACTTTCAGCCGGAATAATGGATGGTTCTTATTTTCTCAACGAATAAAAGAGGCAAAATTATCTGCCATTAAAATTAAATAACCATATTTTCTACCGGAGAGTTACCATGTCGAAGAATTAATAAGTAAGGTTAAGTTTATTTTTTAAAGAAACTCACTTCCATTCGATTCAACAACCGACGCAGAAAGAAACCAGATTTGTAAAGAGCATGGTTAAGCTACTGCAAAACAAAACAACACATAAAGCTAACGAATTGGGCCACTAATTCGTTTAACCTCTGCTAATCTAGATATTTGGTGAATAGCACAAATATTGATTCTTCGTTTAAATTCTAGTTACAAACCGTAATTATTAAATTGTATTATCAGATCTTGGACAAAATCTAAATTGACATGTTTACTTCCCATATCTGATAAATACGAAAACTTTCCGCGAAAAAATATAAATGACCTTTCCATTGTTTCACATTGGCAACACAAAATACAGAACCCCATTGTGACTCACGTCGGCAACCAACAAAGCGTTTTGGTTAAGTAAAACATTTGAAGTTATTTTTTGTTCTGTGTTTGATGTCGTTTGCCGTTGTCATGCAATAGAGTGTGATACTGAACATAGACAAAGTAATTATGGAATTAAATTCTATGATATGCATACTGAACATAAAAATCGGGTTTACGGGAGCAAATTCGCCATTGTTACATGTATTTATATCTCTTGAGGGTTGTTTCCAATGCAACTTGGTCTTTACAAATTCAATAATAATATTTCATATTTGGAAAAGGCATTTTTCCAGTTGTTCTCGGTCCATTTTATCGTGATGTCATTACTTGTCTTATCGAAAGTTGTGATCATTTAATCTCATGATTGGCCTTGCTCTTTTATTTAAAAATGAATTTATTTATTATTGGTATTTCTGGATAACAAAGCAGTAAGTGCAGAAACATTGGCTAAATCTATAATATTTTTTACTCGGAAAGCCATATCTGAAAAAATTATCTGTTGAAAGTATAACGAAGCCAAACACTTCCTCTTCAAAAATTATTATAATTGTTTTAAATTTAGTATAAGTGCACTCTATCCTTATCTTGTGTGGCAAATATACTTATAGATATCCTTGTTTAGGAGAATATTAGTGCCAACCTAACGCCTAAAAAAATAAAAAATATATTTAACAGATTAGCCAACATTACCGGTCAGTGAGAAGGAAATTATCAGAATCGAAAAATGTCCATTTAAATGTAAGCTCCGATATTAAAAAGGCCGTTAAAAAGTTAAAATTTCTACGGCAGTTTGATACACGTTGATTGGCATTTCCCGCCATGTTCTAGTGAAGCAAGTTGTCGCGGCAGCACTTTCGCTATGTTTGGAACGCTTGTGGTGAATTTCATAAAAATCTGCTTGTAAGGTATATTATAAAGTATAATATTTATTTAGAGTTAAATAATACATTAAAATTGAGCTATAGCGTAGTAAACATGTATTTTTTGTTACATTTTTTGTGTCTGACGTTTGTATGCACTCGTTTCTTTTCTTCTCACGAATCCGGCCATCTTGTTTGACAGCGGAATCGTCTTTTCTTGGGTCCGGGATAGCTTGTTCGAAAAATCTAATTTTTGGCGCTAAATATAAATATTATAATAAATGGCCGAATTTTCAGTTCCAACCTAAAATATCTCGTGTCCATCTAAAATGCTTTCAGGTGCGATAAATAAGCCGCGAAAATGGATGAAATATCAAAGGAAGGAGCGGCGGCCAGGCATAGTGTGTCTATGCCTTCGTTAGACGCGGTCGATGATTTACCCGTTGAACCCTCTTTGCCGATGGTCTCATCTGAGACTTCCGAAATTTCTTTCACATCGACGCCGCCTAGTGATTCTTTAATCTCGACGGTGGACGTTTTAGCGTCGGAATCGGAGTCATTTAGTTCCGTCGACGCAACTCCTTCAGTCGATCCCAAACAGATTATTGAACCCACACAACCTTCAGAAAACGATTGCGAAAATGCGGAATCCGAGGAAACACTGGGCGACTCTCAAGCTGAAGATGATCCGTCAATTGCCATCGACCAGTTCATTAAAAAGATAGCGGATGAACAGTTGTCTTCGAAACGCAGTGTTGCGGACGATTTAGATAACGTGGACAAATCGTCAGATAAAGATACAACAGAAGAAGCTATTACCGATGAGCTCAAAGAGGACGAGTCTGACAAAGCTATTACCGAGCCCGTGCCAATGGAAGTGGAGGAACCGGCAGAATCTAAAATTATCGAGTCCAGTGAAACTAATGGATCCACCATGTTCAATGAAAATGAAAATGTGGAATTGATGGATTCTGCAGCGGAATTAACAAAAGATCTAGAGAATGAATGCGATGAAAATAAGGAAGAACCGACGCCAAAGAATGATGTACTAAATGAACTTAAAATGGAGATGAAAGACAAGGAATCAATAGGCATTAATGAGTTTGAGGATTCCTCAGAAGTATCGCAAGATCCATTCCTCATTGCAAGTAAGTTTTTCAAAGTTTTGAAAACATATTTATTTGGTAGTTCAAATTATGATATAGAAACTTTAATAGCCGAGAAACTTTAACAGTGTATTCAGCAGTATAATAATTAAAAAATGTATATAAATTTACATCCTATAATGATTCATTTCGGAGTGTTGAAATGTTACGAAAAAATCGTTTTTTCCTATTTGAAAAGAAATCTCTTCTAGATTTTCCTTTCAAACTTAGTATGTGTTATTGCCAATTAAAAACAAATTTTTAGCTTATTTATAGTTTTTGTTTAACCGCTAGCTTTCGTGAGGGAGTTTTAATTATTTGAAATAATGATTTATCGCAATTTTGTTAATAATAATAAATAAAACGAACACTCTTCATGAATTTTTGTTTTGTTTGACCGCAAAATTAAGAAAAAAAATTGGAAAGAGCTGTTTTTTTTACAATATTTGAACACCCCGACTCTCCAAAATAAAGCATATTAGGAGGTATGATTTTTTTTACTTATTTTTATCTGCTTTAAACTTTATTTTTTATTATTTTTTATACGCTGAACACCCCTACTTTATCTTGTAGAGGCACAAGAGGAAATTGTAAAGATGGATGTTTTGGTATGTGGCGCCTGTCACACTGCCTTCCATTTTTTGGAGGAATTTCAGAACCATAAACAAGACAAGTGCTCGGGAGTTTCAACTCTTATAAAGAACTGTGAAAATGAAAACAAAGCCCAAGTGTGGGGATTTGTTTTGTGGAAAACAAAATATTTGAAGGTAAGATAGGTGAAGTTAATTAATATCTTGTACTAATAATTGTTTTGATAACCATGTGCATATTAACCAAAATGTGGGATAGAATAGTGGTTTATTTAGCATTTAACATTTATAATTTATAAACCAAACATTTACATATAGAAAAATGCATAATGTAAAATATTAAGTACTAAGTTAGCCATTCGGAATATTATCTCTTAAATATCTTAAGAGCTCTTTTATAAAAATATGCATCCTTTTTAAATTCCTTATTGACTTGTACAAATGGAGTCGCTCATAATATAATCCCTTCGTAAGGATGTGGTTCTTACATAACTCTTACTTAACAGCTAAATCTAACGATTTAAAAATAAAATCAACTTTTGAAGTAAAAAATAAACTAGATAATGCGTCAGTGTAGTTATTACAATGAAAAAAAAAACTTCAATAGGTACTAATGATTAGGTAAGTATAAAATTTATTTTTCATACTAAAAGATGTTTAAATTATCCAAAATGTATTTTTATCACTTTTTTGTGTAATCAAAAATAATTCCATTGGCAGACATTAATTAACTGCCCTTTTAGTGATTTTTTTCTATTCTTCGAGTGACAGCATTGTATTTAAAATGCAGAAAAAGTTTTTACTTAAATTTTGATATTGAAAACTGGGAAAGTTTGTACAAAAATTGAGGGTAACCTCAAACATCTGTTAAAAAAACGTTGAAAAAATTGTACTATGTAACGCTTAAAAAATTTTAGATAGATAATAGATAATAATAAATACAAAGATAAAATGAATTTTAAGAGTGCGGAAGATGATAGTCAACCATCCGCTTGGGGCATTTACCAAAAATGGTGCAAGCTGTCCCAACAAGACAAAAACGCTTGGATTACTGCGGGACAGTCCATACAGTTCGATACCAGAATAGGCAATGCCAAAATAACGGAGGCCAAAGGGAAACACTCCTTCTCTCAAAGGGTAATAATCGCCTCTATGGGGTGCTGTAAGATGGAGATAACTGTCAATATTAACCCAATGGGTTCGAAATCTGCTGTGTAATAATTGAGTTTTTTCAAAGAAATCGCAAAGTTGCATGCTCGCTTTTTTTTTACAACTAATGCGGTTGTTCATGGAAACTGCACATCTGTGACAATTTAAGTCGGCGTTGAGAAGTATATGACAGATGCGGACGATTTTGTTTGTATTCACCGCATGATTTTAAAAATGACGATGCGAAAATTCAATAGAAATCTATGAAAGTGCAAAAAAATTTCTCGCAAAGTGGAATTAGATATATCGCCGTTCAAGGAAAGAGTTAAAAATTTCGAGGAGTTATGTTTATAGTGTCGTTGTAACACCAAAATTAAAAAGAACACTATGTATCTCCATCTTATTGCTCTCGGTACTAAGGTCCCCATTTAAACTATTTCAGTGTTTATTACTTTTTAGGCTGATGATAGCGATCCATTAGCGCTCGAAAGCGGTGAGTTTATTGGTTGCAGCCGTATTCGTTGACGAGTTGGCGTATGTCAAAGTGACATTTTGATTTTTCTTTTAGTCGACAGCAACAAAGAGAATTCGGAGATCATCGACGAACACAATTCAAGCAATCTAATTAAAAAGAGTATCGTGAAGCCGGTTAAACTGAACAACGACGTGACGATACTACCCAGTACCAAGGTAATTTTGAGAAAACTGCAAGTTTTATTGTTAATTGTAATATCATTATATTGTTATGATTGTTATTGTTATTATGCTCAGTTTTTTCCGTCCTTGTTTTATCGCTAACGTCCGGAGGGGGTAATGTTTTAGAATAGCGATCCGAATTCGAATAAAGCAATAAGAACTACAAAAATTTTCTCCACACAGAAGCAGGAGTACGCGGTCGAGAAAATATTGGCAAAAAGGTTTAATCCGCGGCGGAAAACTTGGGAGTATCAGATCAAGTGGGAGAATTTCGGAAGGTGAGCTTGTGCCCTAGTGACCAAAACCATATTCTGTTATTCTTGATCGTCTAGAATAGTCAGGATATTCTTAACGGGTCATAGACTTTTTTCCGGTTTCCTCAGAAAAAATCTAAGAATTTTTCATTTTCCCAGAGTGAATATTAATTTCGTCTGAATATAAAAATATTGTTGGTTATTGTTTTGTTATTATTATTATTATTCAGAAACCATCTTGGAGCAGTAGTAGCAGCGGTAGAATGTAAAAATGTATTTAACTGTGCTTTATAATCATGTAACAATTTTTCAAAGAAACTTCCACAGACTACTGTAATACTTCTTACGAAACTTCTGAATTAACAATTTCGACTCAATAAAAACCGACGCAGGAGGAATCTAGAAGTTTTGTAAAAAGAATTATGTAACAAATTCTTTTCAAAAGGAAAATATATGATGAATTTTTAACAATTTTTTCTATAGCAAGTGAGATGGCATCCTTACATTTAAAAATTTTCAGGGCTTTGTTTTTTTTGCCCACACTGTAGAGATTTGACGATTTTGCATGTATTTGAGGGCGTACATTGAAATAATCTGGTTTTTGCGATATTATTTTGCATCCACTTAACGAAAGTGATCTCCATATTTATTATAGATTAAAAATAAATTAACAGCCAATACAAAAAACCACCTATTTGATATTTTCTCAAAAAAATAAAAATCATTCAGGATTACAGTCCATAGTGCACAATACTTATGACTTGTTATAGATAAGTGAAAGCTTATTGATTATATTGAGAACAAAGTTGTTTCAATGTGTAACGTAAAGGCTATTTGCATTAGTCATCACTATATGAAATTTATAATGGAGATTGTGTGTCAATTTTTAGATACTTATTTCTTCTTTGGGGGACCTAATGAAAAAAACTTGTTTCATATTGCTCAAAGACTTTAAAATAACTGTAAAAGTTTTATTTATTCTATAGAATACTGCGGAGAACAGTTTACATAATTACAGGTATAGAAAGAGTATTTTATTTATGGAACGAAGACATATGTACAAAGTCGTGTGAGTAAAACAAAAAGAAACATAAAACAAACTGAAATACTCTTAATATTAAATGAGGGAAGAACGGAACAAGTGTTTGCTGTTCTTTTGTTGTTTTTCCTGGATTTCTCTTAGGTCAGGTCTGAAGCGGCCGTACATGCTATTTGCATTGTAAATATATATGACGTAACTGATTTAGGAAACAAAATCTGAAAATTTATAAATATCCAAACAAAAAGATCTGTTTGTTGATTCTGAGAAAAAGCTTTGAGAAAAAATCTGCCTGGAAAACGTCATTCCCCAATAACAAATCCACTCTTACCGATCTAATGTTTTTTAGTTGTGGCGGGGACAGAAGTGGTTCTAGCCAACTCCTTTGTTTATTTTGCGAATTAAACGGCCTTATACCCTTCCACTTAAATTGAATTCATTTGACGAATTAAATAAAACTGTCTTCGTTTCCTTCAGAATTAGGGACTTTCAAATGTGAAAATCCGTACTGCGCGGCTTGTCATACATAACCTCAAACGCTACTGATAAATTTTTCAACAGCGATTCTAACACTTGGGAACCGGTATCAAACTTGAGCCACTGCAAACAGATGCTTGAGCAATTCGAGGATCAGCTGAAGCGAGTCAAGGAGGAGAAAGCTAAAGCGGCCGGGGCCGTTATCAAGGGGCGGGGCAGGCCCGCAAAGCTCGGTGCCAAAGGGGTGTCAAGTCAGTTCATTCCGATCGCACCGAAACCGTCTTCGAGCAGCAGCGGCAGCAGCATGGACTTTACCTCCGGGGGGTGAGTGTGCGTTTTTATTTATTTGATGAAGTTGATTTTCCATATAATTTTTCCAAGTGATTCTTAGGTTTTTTCCTGTTTTGGTTTTGTTTTGTATTTTTCTTTAATTAATAACATATAATTAAAAAATATGCTTTATGTTATGTTTATATATTTGAGAAATAAATAAGAACTAAAAGTTCAGATTCAGACAATTGTTTCGACAACACCGTGTCTTTATCAAATGTAATATTTACAAACTACCTGCTACTATATGTTCTCATGACTGACAACAAACGTTACACAATTATTGTTGAAGTTTCTATGGTAACAAAACGACTTAAATCGCTTGTTTTGTGTCTATGATAAGGAAAACGTTAATTGTACGAAATGTATTATGGGTTCATTTCAATAGTTTGGGCTCTCCTTGGGGCGTGGCCTCGAGTGAGGCAACATATAATTTATTCTGTACAGTGTGCTACAACCTCTTCAATGTTAATATTCGGCGACTATTTTATTTAAGTAGGCGACCGCAAAGAAATTCAAAACAAAAGGCGCTGAATCACATGAAGGCGTGGTGCGGCAACATATCGGACGAAGAGGGCGGACCCGGCGGTGTCAAACGCGCCCACGATGACGACGACAGCGACGTCGACTTTGAAAAGAAGATGAAACTCGAGGACTTTTCCGACGATTCGGAGGATGAGATCAAGCCCAAGGTGACGAAGAAGGAACCCAAATCGAGCATCAAGGCGGTTATGAACACGCCGTCCCAACAACAGATATTGCCGTCGAACATTCTGATTCCCGACGCCAACGGAGTCGTCAGGATCAACCAGAAACAGTTGCCCGCGTTAAGCTCCGGCGTGTATATTATGTCGAAAACGGCCGGTAAGTTTTTACGCGCGTTATACAGGGTGGTCGCGTTTTAACGGGAAAAACCTATTTCTGAACGTGATAGAGAAATCGTGTTTGTTCAATTTTCAGTTAGGTTTTTTTGTCTAGTACAAATCGGTTGCAGTTGCAATTTTTTAGCAGTAGTTTCAGCAACTCAACAATTTTTTGCCGGTTTTGGTTGCTTTTTTTTTGTTGCCTTCGATGCAAGTGAAAAACGGATCCCATAAACAAACTAAAAGTAGGCACCTAACGTTAGTAGCTTATGCAAAATATGTGCGAGTCTAGTGTATCTCAGGAGATGCTCCCGCCCAGATGTAGAAAACACTATTCTATTATTTAGTTATTTAGTTATTAAGTTATAAACAATGTTTATTTGAATCTCATTGAACGTGGTGTCAGATACATTTCACTCACTAATCTGCATTTTGCGGCATTTTCTTTGCAACCAGCCATTTCCGCACACTTACCTCGTTTTTCCAAAATATCTAATGAGATCTATGCATATTTTAAGAGAATAGTCCCACAAAAATGGTCCTTGGTTAAAAACGAGATTTTAAATCTCGCGCATGCGCATAAGTTCCTCTATTATCGGTCTAGGCAGGGCCTTTATATTTCTAGTAGGTGCCCTAACAATGTTTTCATTTGAATCAGAAATTTCTTGGTCAGAAATAGTTTTTTTCCTATTAAAACAGCCCAATTACGACCATCTTTTACAAGGTGTTCGATATGCGAATATTTTACCGGATGCTCGCAATAGTCGGAAATTTAGATTGAGTGAAGGTCGTGGAAGGTGCACAAAGGTTCCAAATAAATAATCACGAATTATATTTGAATCCTTTTTTTATTTTTGGAAGGACACATTTTGTCGTGCCTTTCAATCAATGGAAATTGGATACTGCAATGACCTCCAATTAATGGCACCGTTGAATATCGCTAAGCAACGCCCTGTGTTTCCAGGGATTATCAAGTTAGATTCGACCACGTCCAAAGTAGCCACCAGCGGTGGCCAGACCATCGTGAAGGTGGCGCCGAAAATTGGTCAAACGCAAATTAAAATCGTGAAAAAGGACGGAAACCTGACGAAACAGATTATCCAAGTGTCGCCCAAGCCGGGGGGCGTCGGATTGAATTCCATTTCCAGCGTTAACAAGTCGTCTACCCCGAAAACATACAAGTAAGTTAGCATCCAATGTAAAAAAATATATGTGCTATGTGTTGCGATAGAATGCAGCTTAGAGATGAAGGGGATAAAATTTGACCAGTGAATCAACTTGTGTAATATTCCTAGGACTTTTCTTGTCTTCGTTCAGGACTGAGCAGTTTTTGTGGACGTGTCAGAAGATTGACGAAGTTGTTTCACTTGAGACAGACATGGTCAGGTCCCATCCATTGGAATGGAATATTGGGACCTTTCAGAAAAGCACCAAATATTATGAAGTTACAAAAAACATTTTTTAATCAACTTAAAATATTAACAGTTTAAATCATATTAGATGTGATAGTCAGAAAAAATTTACATTTATAACTTGTGCACAGAAATTTCTATGCTTTATGGCAATTGTAGAATTTTGTTGGCATATTGGAGCATTGAAAAATGTTAACACTCTATACTTTTCAGTTTGATTTTTAAATCTATTTTAAATTCTTTACATTTTTGACGTATCTGGTGTAATGCTTATTAAATGCATTTTAATTATACATAGTGTACCGTGCCTTCAATATGTCTTGATAACATTTTAATCGGCTGTAACTTTTTTGTTTTTAGAGGTATCAAGTTAAACAAAAAAACAAAATGTAATGTTAGTAGGCAAGTATTTTTTCAAGTGACGTATAAAACAAAACACTATCAATTTTCTCTCATTAAAGCCTACGTCATATTTGTTTGAATTGAAAACCCTGTATATTATTTATATGTTTAATAGAATATCTTATTCCGATTAAAATGATGAAACGCACTTTATATTTTATAATTACTGACTGCAACAACAATAATTATTTACAAATTAATGTAGGTCAAAAACAATAAAAATTGACAAAATGACAAGACAAACCAAAGTAAACAATTCTTTAAGAATTCAAATACTGCTCTATGTGACCATCATTTTCCGAACACATTTCTCATACACTCTAATTTTATGGTGTCTTGCATTTAGTAACGTTTCCGGATTACTGATTGATTGCTCTCTGAAATCCTGTGCCGAAGTTCCAAGACATTATTACAAGGAGTTCTATGCGTGATATTCCATGTTAAGAAAATTTAACTTGAAACATTTAGAGGTAAATCTTCTATATATTGTTCTATTTGGTGCTCCATGCAAATAATGATCTCCAGTTAGCTTTATGGGAAACAAAATATGCCCATCTATGATACCACACCATACATTAATTAATTGGTACCCCTGGGTTTTTATATCTTGTATTTGTCTAGAATGATATAAAGATCAATATCGCGAACGAACTTTCATCAGTCTATAAAATATTTTTCAAAAAATTATTATTCTCATGTCTATTTAAAATATCCAAACCAAACTGCATCCACCTTCGACATTGTCTGCACTTAGTTATTACATTTATATTCTTTCAAAACTGAGTGGATTGATCCCCGAGAAATACCTGTCAATTCATATAGTCTAGCAATAGAGGAAACTGGATGTGCTTCATTGAATCCTAATGTGTTTGCCTTATTTTCTTCATTTAAAACATCATGATTCCCTTTTTAGCATTTACAATGTTTTCTGCAAATTTCTTTGCCAGCTTTGGAAATATTAGGCTAAAGTCTAATGTACTGACGACTTTTGTTATTCAGATAGTATACTTGAAGCCTATCACGAAAAACTATTTTCACAATAATGACTTGAACAATCATTCAACCATCAACGTTGTTTACTATTATGTCAAACAAACATATTTTTATTTGTCAGTCTGGGCACTCTTTGAAATTATATAAAAATTTCCTGTTTTTGCCTATTTGTCAAAAACGAGTCTACTAAAATATAAAGTGTGTTACATCATTCTAATCGGAATAAGATTCTATTAAAAAAACACGTATAATATACAGGGTGTTCCATTTAAAGAACATGATGTAGGCTTATATGTCAGAAAATTGATAGTGTTTTTTTTATACGTCACTTGGAAAAATACTTGGCTACTAACCGTACATTTTGATTTTTTGTTTACCTTGATATCTCTAAAACCCAAAACAAATGCAGCCAATTAAAATTTCATTAAGATAAATTCACAAAATCATTTTAGAAATCCTAAAAAAAATATATATATATATATATATATATATATATATATATATATATATATATATATATATATATATATATATATATATATATATATATATATATATATATATATATATATATATATATATATATTTTGGGGACCCATTTCTAAAGGAGACGTTATTGATTAATCAAACTAATCTTATTTTTAGTATTTTATTTTCCCTAGAAATGGGGGGAGCTATTTTTGAGAGTAGCTTGTGCTACATCTCTTTATCCTATTTTGATTTTTCTCAGCAATTAGAATTATTATTATTATTATTATTATTATTATTATTATTATTATTATTATTATTATTATTATTATTATTATTATTAAGTTCTAATCACGCGAAGTTCGAAAAAAATTTAGGGTATCTTGAAAGGTTTTTTTTTTTTGATAAAACTGGCTTTTTATTTTATTTACTTATTATCTTTTTTCATTATTTACAAGGGCACTGTCGAAGATCAAGCCGAAAGAGCAGACGCCCAAGATCAGTATAAAGCCCCGCATCGATATAAGGAGGAAGTCGCCGTCAGTTTCGCCCCAACCGGCGGTACAGCCCGAGAAATCGTGCGACGAGGAATCGGACGACGGCGTCGAGCCCCTAGAGTTCCCCGAGGATCTGCCCGCGCCCGAGCCCGACAGTCCTCCGGGAGAATTTACGTTGGACCCTTCGACAGGTGAGGGCGACATGTATAGTCCCTTCGCGAATATTTTCGTTTTTTAGGTTGGTTTTTTTACTTTTTTTTTTTCGAATTTGGCCTGCATACGACGTTTCTGTTAGAAAATATTTACAAAAATGTTAAAGCGAGATTTTATTGCAACGGGCATTAAGGTTTAGATTTTTTAGTGGAAATTATATGTTCATAGCTAGATATTTATTGGATAGGTGCTTAATTTAACACATACATTTTTTTTTTAGTTTTCATTAATAAATAATTCCGACAAAAGAAAGTTGCTCCCGTGTTCTCAAAATAATGGTTGGATTGAATATTAGGCACAGTACCCCGGCTTTCCCATCTTTGTTTCTAGGAATTGCTTCGTTTCGTGTGTTTTCAGAGTTCGATATTATTTTACGCACTTTAATGGTTGCCTGACCTCGAATTTTACCTCTAAAAATAAATTCTATAGAAAATGATGTTTTTTAAATTAATTAGTTGAAAATTTTTGTTTCGAACGGTAGCTTAAAATATTTATTTTTTTAGTAACTTGTGTGAAGTTAATAAAAAAAATCTTTGAATTATAACTTTTTAACAAAAATGTTTCATAAAAGTGAAAGCTAACTTATTCTTATAAGAGTAAAATCACAAGTGGACCTCCCCATTTACCACTTACTTGATCATAAAAAAATAATCTATATATATTTTTTATAAGTACTTATGATGGAAAATTGATCACTCCAACGATTTTTTAAAATTTTGATTTTAACAAAAAAAAAATTATAAAGAAAATTTTAAGCACTTTCAATTAAAAAATGGATTAAAAATCAACCGTAAGAGGTAGATTTATGACATTTTTAGCATCCAAGGTTAACTTTAAGAACACATTAACGACTTAAAATTATTTGTTTATTTTCGTATTGTTAAGTAACTTTTAAGTTAACAAATGAAACTTTAGTTGATTTCTTGGTAAAATAAATCATGTTTTTTTATCGGTCACGTGCTTTACACATTTAAGTTTAAGATTTCTTGAGAAAATTTCACTGCTCGTCGTTAGTTTAAACAAAAGGAATTTATTTATGACAGCGCGCCGAGCGCTGTGAAAGCGCCGCGCTGCAGAGCGTCTCGAACTGCATTTAAGGTTTTATCAGTGATAATTTACTATAATAGTACAAAATATTATTATAAAACAAATTTTATTATTATTTATGTTATTTCATTATAATTATTATTAATAAAATTTTATATTTTTTTAACAATATTAACAATCATAACATACTGAATAGAACAAATAAGCTTAAATAATTAAATTGTAAATTTGTCGTAATTTATGTTTTTTTTTAACTTTTTTTTTTTAAATAAATACTTTTTCATCCTCTGAAACGAGCCTGCATTCTAGTGAAAAAATTTCTAATGGTTTGTAATAGTGAAATTGGCGAATATTTTTTTAAAAAGAACTTTGGGACCACTGAAAAAAGGTAAATGGGGTTGTTATGTGTTTGTTTTTATCACGTTGAAGACTAGCACGATAAGTTTGTCTTTTTACACTCCCTGCTAAGCCATCACACGCTCCTTTGCCATGAGATGTAGCGAAAAGAGTCCAATCAGCATCAACACCAAAATCATTTTTATGATTATCTAAATTGTAATAATAATAATAATTAAAACTAACCAAAACTATTTGTAAGCGTAAGTTAGCAGAGTTTGGCATGGTGCGACTTTTTGACCAAGTCTTTCATACCGAATATTGATCAATTTACCAAATTTAAGCTAGCCAAAGTATAAGAAATAAATATTATTTCGAGGATTCCAAATGCTTTTTTTGTATGCTTTAGTGATAAAATAGTATCAAACTAAGTGAACAAAAGGTGCAAAAGCGAATTGTTCTATTTCTGTTTGTAAAGAGATCCTGAGAATTCTTATTTTTCAAATTAGGGTAGATTTTTGTCGAAATACCCATTTAGTTCGAACATTTTCTGATGTGATGGAAACTTTGAAGTATATAAAAACCTAAATTGAAACCTTTAATATTGTTTTCGAGTTTTGTATTTTTTTTTGCCGATCAAATTGTTTTTTTTTTTGTTGGAATGTATTTGCAAAAATGGTTCTCAGGTAAAGTGGTCGGTGTCGAATACGGGCCGGACAAACCTGTCATAATCAACGAGGATATCCCGCGTAACGTCGATAATCCGTCGACCAACGAACTGGAGAACATCGTCAAGTTGGCGGCGGCCGACATAACCGAAGACGACCTTGAAAACACGAACGCACAGGTGACGGACAAACGCCATACATGTATGACGTTTATATTATATGGCGTTATATTTTCTTGGCAGATGGATTCGGATCCTTTGGAAACGGAAACGGATCTCAAATCTCCGGTCAAGGTGGAGCCCGTGACGAGCAACGTGATGGTCAGATACGTCGTTAAGAACTCGAACTCGGTCGCCAAAGGCGACGCCTCGATTTTGAACAAGGCACTGACAGGTAAATCCTCGGAATTCGTCAAAAAGTGACTAGTTTTAGTTTAACAAAGTATTAAAGATGTGTCGCGACAAATAAATCTGCAAATATGATTCATTTTTATCCAAATTGTCGTTGACTATAACATAATAAAGAAGCCTAATGGCTATAAAGTCCTGGCATCTCAAATGGAATTTTGTCTTTGACGGATCAAAGATGTTGAGAGATTTTTCGACAAGTGGTAAATCTGGTTTTGATGTTATATTTCTTTAGAACTTTTGATATGTGGGGAACGCCTAATATCTTTAATGTGGAAATTATTAGAGGGCAGAGTTAAGGTGTTTTAATTCTGGTTTCAGTGACTCTGAGATAGTTTTACTGCTCTGTAAACAAGAGTATTGATAACCGATGATTTTTGGGCCGGATGGTGATGTGACAATGCTTTAAGGTATTGGTCTGTGTGAGTAAGTTTTCTGTACGCACAATGACCCAATGTTAGGTCTGATTTTCTATTGATAAGAATATCTAAGAATGGGAAAGGAAAAAGATAGTCCGAAATTCACATTTACTCTAGGTCACACAAAATTTCAAATATAGTAAACTACAGAATAGTCGATAACTAAAACTCTAAAAACTTGTAAAATTTAATAACATTTACGTATAATAATTTTAAGTAGTTTGCATATAGTAAAATATTTTAATTAATTGTATACAGTGTTTCTATTATTAGTTTCAAAGATATCCATACCAGTTATATTATTTGTAATGCTGGCAGCATCAACTGAATTTGTTTTCTAGATTTGCTGTCAACGAAAAGTAACCTTTAAATAATCTATAGTAATCAACAAAATAATAGCGTTTTATTGTAGCATTAAGTTTTCTAGGCTTTATATAATCTTACAAATTTAGGCTATTCATTTTCTACAATTTTTCGTATAATTAAAATAAATTGTAACTTTGGCTAAAAATCGCAAAAATTGTTTTAAAAATAGCAAACTCTAATGCTCTGCTCTGGTTAAACCTTGTTTAGAAAAAATGCACCTTTTTGACTTTGACATAGTTAACGTTAACGTTCTAATTCTATCAATAATTTTAATCATATTTAAAACTTATCACAAATTGAAGCAAGCTTAATAATCTAAATGGCCAATCTTTTGAAATCATCATATAATTTAAAATATCCATTGAACTCTATATACCATAATTTTTTACTGTCCCTTTTTTATTGGTGTAGAAGTTAAAGATCGCTGCTTATAAAGTGAAGGAAATTTTAATATCTATGAATATTATGGTCAGGGGTGTATCCATTTTTGATATATTAAACACTTATTATGTGTTCTAAGTGCTTTCTGGTTAAAAATTACTGTCTAATGAGAGAAAAAGTGTAATCTGTTATCTGTGTTATATCATGACATTTTTTTCCAGGATAATCCGAAATTTTTTATCGTTATTTCTGCAAAATTTTCGAGAAATTTTTATCATGGAACCAGTTTTTTTCTCTATAAGAGAGAGTAACAACTTTTTTGGGTTTCATGAACGCCATTTTTTTTTTGTACGCTCCTAGGTTCAGGTGCGTTGGCGCAAAAGGGGACGCAGATAGTTCAGCGGAAAGTGCAACGGGTTCTGAACCAGTCGGTATCGCAACGGACGCCCGGTACCACGCCCACGCGTACCATAATTAGACAGGTTCCGATGGGCATGCAGACACAGCAACAAGGTGAGGATTGTTTTTTTTTTTGTTATTTCTCCTAATTTTAAGTGATGCCTCACAAAAAATTCGGAGTTTTCTTTTTGATTCAAATGCGCGATTACTATTGCTATTTCGGTAGGTCCAATGTCTCTTTTTATTTCACCATATTTAATTTTAACAGGCCTTTGAACAAAGTTCGGTTTCATAAATTGTGGTAGTTTCTTTTTCGTCCAAATGTAGCACTTTTTTTACTTTCTTTGCTATTGAAATTACCACTTTTTGGCAGCTTTCCGCCACAGCTGTACAAAATGCTCGAGGTTATTAGTTTTGGTTTTAGTAGGTCAAATGTACCTTTTTTTGTTTTGTGCTGTTGTGAGTTACAGTTATTCATTTTCTTCGTTTGCATTAGTTTGTTTCTTTTTTGGTCGAATGCAGCATATTTTTTACCTGCTTTGGTCCCTCACAGGCGCAAAAAATTGTCGGAAGTTTTCGTTTTATTAAGTCAAATCAATTGTTTTTGTTTCGTTTTAACAGGCCTTCGTCGAAAGCTGTGCAGGACTTTGGACATTTGTTTTCATAGTTTGTACTAGTTTGTCTTTTTTTTTTCTATTGTTCTATAAGCAAGAATAGTGTTTTACTAGTGAAACTTTAAATTTGAAGCTATAAACAATCTCGAAGGTACGAATTTTCGCTTTAATAGTTCAAATGTAGCATTTTGCTGTTTTTGTTTATATTTGTTCGATTTTATGTAGCCCTCATGCTTAGCTGCAAAAAGGCTTTAATTTTTCGGCGCTTTTGTTGCAGTAGTTCAACTGTACCAATCGTGTTTGTGTTTCTCTTTCCCTAGAACTATAATTTTTAACTTTAGGCAACTTGGTTCGCACCAAAGTGCTGACCCCGAAGCCGCGGTTTAATATTACGCCGCAAAAGGTGACCGCGAGTCCCGGTACCAGAATCCAGAGGCAGTGGCCCGGCAGCTCGGGTCCCAACAGGGTGCAAGTCTATTCGAACAAGCAGCAAACTCCGGGAACTATCAGGAAAGTCGGCAACGCCATAGTCAGGTATTAACGTGTTTTTTTTTTTGGCCGATTTCGTCGCAACACGCTTAGAAATCCGATTGTCCATAGACCAAGCAGCGCTCAAAAACCAACGAGGATACTGCAGACCGTTTACAGAACGTCACCGAAAAAGGAGCCGTTTATTTTGAACACATCGGTTTCTCCCACCCGGAGTCCTCTGAACGCCAAACAGGTTATCAACATGCCATCTTTGATAGGTAAGAAACGAGTGTTAATATATGAATAGTTTCGAACCAGTCGGTTCAAATTGTACTACAGTAATTGATCTATGTCATTTGAGATTTTTTTCATTATTGTTTATTAAATTAACACTAACAATTAACTGCGGTATAATTTTGACTAACTGAACTTTTAATGCATTGACATTTCTTGTGTTAAATTTTTGCATTTAACTACAAGCGAAATTTTGTTTTCAACATTTCCCATGCCCCATGTTCCCATGTTCTTTTTAAGCGGTGATTTTTATTTTTGTATTTTTTAGCGTTTCTAAGAGATTTCTTTTTTTTTAATTCTGTTTTTTGAAAATTAATGCTAAGACCTATTGCCTGTTTTAATTGTTTTATCATTTCGAGGGCATCATTTAAACTTTCAGCTCTAATGACAATATCATCGGCAAAGCGCAAATGATTCAGATATTCGCCATCGATATTTACTCCCTTTTTATCCCAATCCAATTCCTTAAAAGCATCTTCCAAGACTGCCGTAAGTTTTCACGCCTTGTAGGTGATCATTTGTTCCATACCCTTTTCTAAAACCTGCTTGCTCTCTGAGTTAATAAAAATCTTTAATAAAAATTTTTTGGTTCTAACCGTTTTGTGATGATTTCGGCAAACCATTTGTAAATATGAAATAATAGACTTATAAGTCCACAATTTTCAAGATCTGTTGTATCTTCTTTTTTTTGAGGAGGATACTCTGATTCAAACAAATTAAATATTTTTTTTATTACTTCTAGTAGTTTCTCTCCTACTTTAATAGCTTCTATCACTATTTGGTCATCCCGGTACCTTGTTCTTCATTTCTTGTAGGCTACTTTTCATGTAATCCGGTGTTATTTGTGGCATGAGTTTAGATCCTTGGTTTATTACTTTGAGTTTTCCAATTTGTGTTTCATCAGTTTTCTGTAGTTGTCTTCTATATAATTCTTCCTAAAAGTTTTTTGTTATCTCCAGAATTTTCTCTCTATTTGTTGTTAAGTTTCCTTCTTTTTCTTTTAGTTTAATAATTTTTTTGCCGTGGTTTTGTTTTTTTTTTTTCTAGGAATTTTCATATTTCTGTTCTTTTCAATCGTACCGTTGTATTTTCTCAGTGTTGTATTTCCTTTAATCTTATTCATGCTTCGAAGTTTAACTGAGTCTCCTTTGTGCTGTCCTCTCTTAATTTTTTTTCTTTTATTAGCTGTTTGGTTTTTTTAGTTTGTTTTTCTTCTGTCGTGCCTGCCCTAACACAATACTGTTCTTCTTTGATTTTATTATCCATAATTTCAAACTATTACGGCTGAAGAGCTTGGTTTAAGACTCGGTTTATAGTTCCTTTCTTTATTAGTCTCGTTCTTTAAGTTTAATTTTACTGTGGCTCTCACTGCTCTACGATCACTCCCAATGCCAAATTTGTTTGTTGTTATGCAGAAATCTATTTCATTGTTTGTGTTCCCAGTTGGGTTTACCCATGTCCATCGTCTATGTGGTTTCTTTTGGTAAAAACTGTACATTAAGTACAACTGATGATTGTGAATCAGATATAAGGTACTATATTTCACTGACTGACGCGGATCTTTATGAATGTCTTTGAATGCCGATGGTGCAGATGCGAATTTGCCAACAGGTGACGACGAATCTGGGTCCAAATTCGTCGGCAAACAAAACACGGTCTCGGTAAATCGGTCCCCGACGAAAACCGCAGCGACGGTCGACGAACCGACGTCCATGGATAACGACGAAAATAAGCCTGAGGCCTTGGCATCGGCCACCGAGGGTTTGACGACCGCCGATCTGTCGACGTTCACGATGGCCGACAGCGAGAACCCGATCTACATTACAGGCGACGACGGTACCGTCTACCAAGTGGCGGGACAGAATGAACAGGTAAAGAGATTCTCAATAAATAAAAACGAGGTTGCTAGTTTTGGTTTAGTCACTCGACCTCGAAAAAATAACTACATTAACACTAGTAATACCCTGACGATTTCTTCACGAATTAATTCATGAAATTCTAGAAGGTGATCAAATTTGATATCGAATACTAGTCAAACAAATTCAGGAAATTCTTCATAAATTTATAATCGTCGGTATACAAGAGAGAGTGACCAAGTTCAATATTAACAGTTTTAAGCTATTAATATTTGAAGATTTATGAACAAATATAAAATTCAATTATTTCATGCAAGTTTATTTTAGTGGAAATACATATTGAATAAGTTTTGCTTAATCTACTGCAATAGTCAAAATAACTTATTGTTTTATTATAGCCATATAACTATTGTTATTTTTCTATTCGAAGGAATTTTCGACTTGGTCACTTTCTCATGGTTATAAAATCAATTATTCCTTGAAAGTTTATTTTAGTGGAAATACATATCGAAAGTAGATTTTTATTAATCTACTACTATAATAAAAAAAAAATTATTGTTTCATTGGTCATAATATAATTATACCTATTATTTTCATATTCGAAGGAAATTAAGGTCAATTTGTTTCCCTAACATTTATGAACTATTTAAATAACAAATTCACGATTATAACAAATTATTAAATAATAATAATTACTAATAAGAAAAATTAAGTAGCATTAAAATTATGATACTCATTGGGAATAAGTCCAGTTCGGCAAAGTTTAATTAAGTCATCCTTTTTGTTTTTGAATATTGGCAATGGTTTTGAGTAGCTCTTTTTTAAATCTGATTCTTTCGGCGTACTATTGGGTCTACCCTTTCCTTTTCCTCTTAAATTTAGAACTTTGTATTCTTCATTGTAATTGTACCTGAGCAATATTAAATATTTTGTTCCTTTTTTATATAGGCGTTGTTTGATCTAGAGCCATTCTACTCTTTGACCACTTTTGTCTCGAATCGCATTTTTTAATGTTGATTCGCTAAGTTCTTTAAGATTGATAAAATCATTGTTTGATTGAGTTTGATTCAGACGGATCACTTACCTCTGGTTCAGTGGTTCGAGGAGTACAAAAATAATGACGACGATGACTCAGAGGTTCCCGTAATCTAACCAGCACTGAAATGTATCTTCCTGAACTGGATAGCTTCCAAACTGTTAGTGATAATTCAGTAACAACGGAGTTATTAACGGATAATGATATTACTGAAGTTTTACAGCCAAATGAACGTCAAAGCTCTGGAAACGAAAGCGACGATGATGTTCAACACGATGAAGTAGCAAGTTATTCTGAAGCGCTTTGTGCTGCTACAATTGTTACAAATTTTTTACAATCTACTGATACATAATTTTTTTTGTTTTTTTTTTATAGCGTACTTCCGCATTTTCTGGTTCCTAGAGGGTACTTTATAACCGAAGCTCACTGTATTCAAAGGGCTGGTATGATTTTACGGTTTAGAGTGTAAAAGAAACCTCAGTTTTCACAGGGCACAAGAAATATTGCTTTTCTCAGCGAAAATACTTGTTTTGCAGGGCCAAACGATTTTGATAACTCAAGGCGCCGACGGGCAGCAACAATGTCTGCTGGTGACGAACGAGGTGGCAGAGACGCAACCGGAAGAGCCCGCGGAGGAACCGGAATCGGTGCTGGGAATGCCAGAAATTAATCCGGACGTGGACGCAGTAGCCGTCGCTGCGGCCGCGGCCGACGACAGCATTAAGACTGAGCTGCACGTCAAAACCGACGATACCGATGTAGCCGAAGAACAGATGCAGGTAGAAGGCGGTCAGGACCAGGTTGTGGCGCAAGTCGTGAGAGCGGAGCCGCCCAGCCCAGGTAAAATGTCACAAGGCGAAAAATTAAAAAAATTCAGTTGTTGCTCTTGATAGTCGTTTTTTTTTTACAATACTTTATTAATTCCCTTTCAATTTATATAGGAGGTACTCATAAAGTAGTGGTAATGCTACCAGACGGCAACTTGATGGTTACGCAAGTGTCCCCAGAGGAATTCGCAAGTTTAGAGTTAGAATAAGAGTAGAATTAATTAGTGTTTGTTTCTTACATGTGAAAGACCATAAGTATTTGCGTTTTTTCAATTTAATGAAATTTGTTCATATTTTATTTGGCTTTCTGTTTTCGTGTATAAAGCAAGCAGCAATTTAAAATGTTGCGTTTTTACAACGTAGACACGCAGTAGTTTTTAATTACGCACCTATCAATGGACGTAGACATTTTGGTTGCAGTTCTAATAAACTTTGTTTCTCGACTTCTCTGTAATTCAAACTCGTCTCTCCCTAACGTCGCGTGTATTGAAAATAACACGACAGTTTCTCGGCTGAAATTGCTCACAGGTGCAAAGAACATTTAAATGTAAAAAAATATATGTATATTTCTGTATATAAATGTTTTTACCGAATACGGTAAATAAAATATGTTTTAATATTGAAGGATACTTTACTAAGAAATTTTTAATCATCATGTAACACACTTGCGTTTGATATAATAAATATATATACTTGGGAGGATAGTTTTTTTTTTTCGTTTTATTCAACACATACTTTTATTTCACATCTTTTTGTTTAAAACAAAACTAAAACATTGCTAAAATCATTTTTCTAATACCTATTTACAAGGAAAATTCATGCTATTTACACTCGCTTCCTCTTTGATCGCCTAATTCCCGCATTCTTATCAATTTTCTCCTCTTCGAAATGGACCTTTTTCATAGGCGCTGCTTTCATTTTCGGAATTTCGTAAAGCTCCTGGGAATATTTCCTGTTCGTCCCTTTCCTGCTTCTGGTCTCTCGCGGCGAATTCACATCGATTCCTTCTCCCGTTTCAATCGACGTTTTAGTTTTTTTACTTTTTGTCGGTTTCGGTTTCTCCGTTTCCTCGACGACCTCTTTTACATGCTCCTCATTCTTCTTCCTACTCCTCGTCGACTTTTTCGGCGCTTCGATCGCTTCTTCGTCGGTCACCTTCTTCTTTCTCGCCTGTTGTTTTTGTAACGGCGCAGCAGGGGAGTGTTGCTCCTCCCCAACCTCATCTTTTTTCACCTGCCGCTGTCTTCTTCTGGTATTTCGGCAAGGGCCGTCTGGCGTCGTCTCCGCTGGATTACTTGTTTGTGACTCTTGAATTTTAGGAACCGATCTTTTGGTCTTCGGAGCGGATAATTTTGATGACTCCACAGGTGGAACGTTCGACTCCGTTGTTGCCGTATCGGTTCCCGACTCGCTAACCATTTTTCTTTTTCTCGTAGATTTCGAAGGTTCCTTTTCTCTCGGCTCGGCCGCCCGCCTCGTCCTTAAGACCCTGGCGGGCTTTTCGGCCAAGTCCGAAACGTCATTGTTGTTTTCCCGTCTCGCTCTCCTGGTTCTTCCCGATCTTGTCGATCGATCGGGCGATACGATCACCTCCGGATCCTTCTCGACGGCTCTCCTCGACACGGGATCTCGTCGTTCCGCTTGCTGTTCTTTCACCCACTGCTCGACCCAGGGAGAACATTCGGGCACGTCGGCCGAAGTTTTCCTTTCACTCTCCTCGCCGGGCTCCTTCACCGTCGTCGATAAACTTCTCCTGTACGCGCGCAGCGTCTTTTTACCGCTCAGATTTTCGAATGGATCGTCGAACAAACGATCTACGCCCTCGACGTCGCTCAGATCGTTACGCGGCTCTTTAGTGGGCGTGGCGAACATTCGCTTCACGCCGTACGGTTCCGACAGATCGTTGGCCGGACCGTTTTGCTCGCGGGGCGACATGATACGTCGCAAGTTTGGCACTTTGGTCAGGTCGTTCTTCGGAGATTTGTTCTCTTTGGGCGTGGCGAACATCTTCTTCACGCCCGCGACGTTCGAATAATCGTTTCGGGGACTCTTGGCGGCCGCTTTCGGTGACATTAGGGCTCGCAAGTTCGGCACTTTAGTCAGATCGTTCCTTGGGGATTTGTTCTCCTTGGGCGTGGCGAACATCTTCTTCACGCACGCGACGTTCGAATAATCGTTTCGAGGAGTCTTGGACACCACTTTCGGTGACATTAGGGGTCTCAAGTTCGGCACTTTGGTCAGGTCGTTCTTCGGAGATTTGTTCTCCTTGGGCGTGGCGAACATCTTCTTCACGCCGGCGATGTTCGAATAATCGTTTCGAGGAGTCTTGGGCACCGCTTTCGGTGACATTAGGGGTCTCAAGTTCGGCACTTTGGTCAGGTCGTCCTTCGGAGGTTTGTTCTCTTTGGGTGTGACGAACATCTTCTTGACGCCCGCCACATCCGTATAATCGTTACGGGGACTCTGCGGCACTTTGCCGAGGTCGTTTTTCGGCGATTTTCCGCGGAATAGATCCTTAACGCTCGTCTTGTTCTTGGGCGATTCGATCCTCGCGCGTTTCGCTTTTAGGACACCGCCAGCGGACGACTCCCTGCCCCGTTTCAGTGACCTCATAGCCGATTTTTTGATACTCTCGAACAAGCCGGGAGTGTTGACGGGCGTTTTGAACGCGCCGTCGTCGTCGGCGATGCACTTCTCGGGAGTCACGGGCGTGATATCCTCTGTCACGGGGTAGTAAACAGACTGTACCGATCTGCGCGTCTTGACCGCAGACTTGGGCGTCGCGTCCTCGACGTCGGCGAACGATTTCCAGGCGGACTTTTCGGCCTCGTCGGACACGGACGTGACGTTTATAATTTCCGAAGTTTCGTCCGCATGACGCTTGGGCAACGGCGTCGACGTGAACGACACCTCGGTGCCGAAGTTGTTATCGTGGCGCGATTTCGCGTCGGTCTTCGAATTTCGTCGGAAACTCGAAAACGACCGCGCCGAAATCGATCTTAGCGACGCCGTCGTCTCGTTGACGTCCGACGCCAGCGACGAATCGTTCGACGAACGAATCTCGGTACTTTTCCGGTAGGAATCGCAAGGAATCGAAATAATCGACGCTTTCGATTCCGACCTCGATCTGGACACTCTCGGTGCCGGAGTCTGCGCAGTTTTGCTGACCTTCGACGGCCTAGAACCTGCGGATTTCTCAAACTTGTCCACTGGAGATAACCTCGAAGAGGATCGAGAGGAAACGGACATTATCTGTAATGACGGTTCGTCTCTTTTATTCAACTCTTCTCCTGCTGTAATGGGAGATCCCCCATCTGATTTTTCAAAATCATTTCCACCGATTATGGAAGATATAGACCTGGACAATCTCAGTGCAGGTGTCTCAATCTTGTCTATTCTAGACAACCTCGAAGAGGACAGAGAGGAAACGGAATTCCGTGAGCCATCCTTCGACCTCAACTCTCGGCCCGTTAATTCTCCGCGGGTAACGGAAGACCTAGATCTGGATAGTCTCGGTGCTGGCGTTTGAGTCATTTTGCTGATTTTTGAAATGGAAGATTTCGACGCCGATAAACTCAAGGCTGTAACTTTTTCCGTCGAATCAAACGATTTTTCCAAATTATCTCTATTAGTGATTGAAGATCTAGATCTAGTTCTCCTGACTCTTGAAGCTGACGGTTTCGACGCCGTCGAGACGTTAGATATCTCAAATTTGTCTACTCTAGACAAGCTCGAAGAAGACCGAATGGAAACGGATATGCGTGGCGATGGGTTCGACGCCAATGAAGAGTCTTTCAATGAACCATCTATTGGCAGCTCTTGCCCCGCCATCTCTCCGCCAGTAACGGAAGATTCAGGTGTGTAAATTTTGCCCGTGGAACCGATAGATTTGTCAAATGTATCTCCGTCTGTCCTGGAAGACCTAAATTTGGATAGTCTTGACGCTGGGGTTTGAGCGGTTTTGCTGATTCTTGAAGTTGAAGATTTCGGCGCCGATACACCCAGGGGCGTGACTGGTTCCGTCGGATGGATGGATTTTTCAAAATTATCGCCGTCAATGATGTAAGATCTCGATCTGGATAGTCGCGGTGCTGGGGTCTGTACCAAATTGCTGACCTTTGAACTTGAAGATTTTGATTTGTCTACCGTAGAAAATCTCGAAGATGACCGCGAAGCAACCGGTACAGCCGGTGACGATTCAAATACTTCCCATTCCAAGGAAGAATCACCGGATGAGTGACCCTTGGTACCCATTTCTCCGACGGCAACGGAAGAAGATCTAGATCGAGAAGAAAACCTTTGTGCTGGCGTTTGCGCAGACAACCTCGTAGAAGATCGAGAAGAAACGACGGGTGCTTTCGGCGAAGACTCCTCCGAATTCGATTTGGCGAAAGAATCAATAGGTACTTGATTCCCCTGCAAACGCGTCGCTCTCGACTTGGACCGAAACGAAACCATAGCCATTCCGATCGAGGATCTAGATCTTGCAAAACTGGCCCATTCTGACACTTCTGGGGTGTTTTGCACGGATAAGGGCGGTGTTGCGGTTTGTTCCATTTCCTGGCAGTCAGGTGACGAAACTTCGACCCTCTTCGGAGCCGAATGCCCAGACGATTTTCTCGTGTTTCCCATTGCGAGGCCGATAGTTGAAAATCTCGATTTCGAATGCGGTGTGGATTTTGCAGCAGGCACGTCCGCAGAGCTGGTGCTGTGCGCCCTCCTGTAGATCGAGGCGCATTTTCTCGGAGCGTACCTCGGCATCGCCACCACCGTCGCGCTTTTTGCGGTTCCCGGGGTAACATTATCGGGCGTCGGCGCGGGTACTTTGACTCCCGGAACCTCTTGGGTACTTTCGTCGAAGACGCTGGCGCTGACGTCTCCTCGGAGGCTTCGTCTCGTGCGCGACGCACGTTTCCTTCCGGTCGAAAGGTTCGCTTCGAATTTCGGGCCGGCTTCTTGCGTATCTTCGTCAAACACTCCTACGTTCTCGACTTGTTGTCTCTCTTCAGGCTTACCGCTTCCCACGTCCTCCAAGTTAGCTTTTTGGCCGTCCCTACGCCACTGGTCGGCTTTCTTAAAAAGAGGCGATGCACGGTAACTGCCGGTCGCCATGTACTGTTTGGCCGTCCTAATGGTGCCCTTCACGTCGATGGCATCGAAATTTATCGAGTTTTGGGCGTCGCTGGGCAACGCGTGGGGGGAAAACGTCAAGGAAACGCCGTTCTCCTTGGGCGACATTTTGAAGATCCGATCGCCGCGATAAAATGGCGACAACGCGTCCATTTTCTTATTTAATGGCGTTTTTGGGAGGTTCGTGCGGGCACCGTCCTCGTAGTGGACGATGTCGACCGACAAATCTTTCGCAAAGATTCCGGTATTGCGTTCATCGGTCGGCAAATATTCCCGCTGCTCGGATATAGTAATGTTGATCTTCGACGACAACAAGACGTTTCTTTCGGAAATCTGCTTGGTCGGCCCACTCCTCGCCTCGTCATTTAGCGAAAAACGCCGCACCAATTTGGTCCTCGGCGTGTTCAACCCCTTCGAGACGATGATCCTCGAGCTGGAATTTAAAAAAGGACAAATAAGATTGCCGAATCAAGATAGAATAGGAGACGTACGTCGACTTAGGTCGTTTGGGCGGATGGGCTGAGTTTGTAGCCGACGTTTTGGGTACTCGGTTCGAAGCTGTAGAACTGCGGAAAATAACCAAAATAGATTTTTTTTATTTTAATCAAACACGTACCTCTGCAAACCAATCATCCCGCCGACCGCGGCTCGTTTCACCGGGATTTTTGTTCTAAAATAAAAGATAACTTACACATTTATAACGACTTTCACATTGTTATTTAAGCTATTAAGCTATTTAATTGAACGAAGTCAGGGAGTAACCTTATGAGACTCAATTTCACTATTTTCTAATATTACACGGCGGGTTCTTGGGACAGCGATTATATGTCTTATGTCCATTGTTTGTCGCGTGGTTCGAAAGGGGTGTTTTGTTTTTTTTGTCATGTTTATGACCATCTATACGACTCTTTAAATATTGGCTCGAAATTGATGAACCTTCAACAAAAATAAACCATCACCGCATCTACCAACATCATGGCTAGAGACACAGGGGATATGCTTCAGAGAACCTTCCAAAATAATATCAACACATCAAATCTTTTTCCGTAATCTGCAGCTTACCTTGATAACTTGGTAATAAAGTCATTTTTTGAGAAATATTGCAAATTAAAACTACAAATTATTTTTTTTAAATAACATTACCCTAATCAAATAGAAAAATAAATTGCACTGATAATTTTTCTTTAAATTATTATATACAATACAGAAAAATATTGTAAATCAGATGACTCGCAGATGGATGAGGCCTATGGGCCAGAATGACATATTATACCTAACATTAAAATTAGCTAAAACTTACTTGAATGTAGGTGATTTCTTTGAATATTTCCGCAAAGGCAGGTCCGATTTTCGATATTCGATCACTGCAACTTTGTTGTTAATTTTCTAAAAATTCAGTAAACCACAATTTTTAAGCAAATTGAAAATAGTTTTGTTAACTTACCGCGTTATCGATGCTATCATTACGATATTGAAACACTTTTTCAAAAATTTGAAATTTATCCATAGATTTCAATATGTACGGCTTTGCCACCTTTTCCCCATTTACATAAACTGGTACATCAGGAACTTTATTTATAAGAGTACACTAAAAAAATGTGATATTTATTTTATCCTATGCAGATAAAAAAAACAACAGACAAATAAAGAAAGCAAGTAAACTGATATTGAAAAAATCATCACAGTTAAAAAATTCCGTTACTTAAATGTAATCGAGCAATTGTTAATTTGATAAAAACAATGAAAACAACGCAGCGGAAGGTTAAGCAGAATTGTTACTGAAATATTTAGGCAAGGAAAGGCAAACATACTTACAACCCCATCTTCGTCGATATTCAAGACGCAATGCGTGTCTTTTAACAGAGAATTCTCTTTCAGTTTCAAGCGTACATCACTATTTTGGGCACCACCAATCTTAACCTTTTGACCACACGGCAATGGATATGGCACGCTCCATTCACCATTTTTTTTTTGCAATACTATGTGCCCACTCATATTGGCCCTAATATTACCACAATCATTAGTTAAAACACACCTTAAAACGCAGACCCGAAAACACGAAATCAGTTTCAAAAATGAAAGCCAAGCCAACAATAATAACGAACGTTGAACCTCAACCAATCACATCACAGACTCGAAAATTTGGTAAAAACGCTGCCAACATCAGTATCGTAAACTAACTAGAGTGTGAAAAAAGTTACGCAGTGTAGGCTCCTGATCTGCAATTTTCCAGTGTCCAGTGTGGTGAAATATTTCGTACAAACGTGGATGCGGATCAAAAGTAATTGCAATCGTGGTGGAAACATAGGAGTGTTTAAAAAATAACCACACGCTGTTAAAATTTGTGACGCGAATGACATCTGCCACGTTCGCGATGATTTTTATGAAAGCACTGTACAGGAACAACTAACGGTCACATTGTTTGTTTTAAAATCTTAATTAAATTTAATTATCCCAAACAAACGCGATATACTGCACTTATGGTCGCATTTAGTTGCAAACGAGGGCAACCTATTAATAATTAAGCTGCATTTAAAACCCGACATGCAATAAGCAAAATGCATCGGCTTTCGTTCTCAACAGCCATTGCCATTAAACTGAACCAATCAAAACGCAGTATGTTACTGGGGTGGAACGTTTAATTGTAAAATGTCCCAAATCTACCCTTCCCTGATATAAATGCTTAGTAAAGAAAAAAGCGTTTAAAAATTATGATGGGTTGAGACCACCAAGAAATATTTAACAATTCCGTTATTATGAAACCAATCAATATTTGATTCTGTCGGTCGGAAATTGGCGCCATCTTCAAACATGTATGACTTTTTGAATTCAAAACTGTTACCGAAAGTTTTTTGCAACAAGCCCTCTACGGAGAATTACGAACCCGAAAATTTGATTACCGAGCGAAATTTTAATAAAGGTTTTATAGCATTCCCTTCGATAAAACCACCAGTCGCATTAGAATTTGAATTTATATGTGGCGTAAATATTAACTACATAATTTTGAACACTTGCGTGGGCAGTCAAAGATGTTCCGGTGTCGAAATCTTTGCGAAAAACTTAAACGTGCCTTACACGTCAATTTGCAAAGCGGTTTACACGGAGGAAGGTGTAATTTTTTGCAACAGCAGAAGATATTCCAAGGAATGCCCTCCGCCGCAGCACAGTTCGGATTATCACCTATCCTACTTCAAGTCGGACACGTTTAATCTGTTCTTGAACGCTACTGGAATTAAGGTCGTTATTTTTCGTACGGAAAAATCGGTACCTTGTATGGCTTCTGCCCAAGTGTGGGGAATTCCTTCTAGATCATGTTCAAGTACTACCAAAAATACCATAGAACGTCTTATGAACAAAAGTGCGCTACAAAATACAACTTCAGATTGCGGTGCCTCTGAGACTGAAGAATTCAAAGTTCCCAAAGACTTTAGGGACGATTTAACATTTGAGCTTATGACAGTTCCGATGACATTGCCTAGTGGGAAAACAATTGATCAAAGCACGTTGGACAAACATTTAAAAATTGAATCTTCCTTTGCAAGGAGGGCATGTGATCCGTTTACTGGACAGAAGTTTACCGGCAGCTTGAAACCGGTTTTAAATGTCGCTTTGAAGAGTAGAATTGATATGTTTTTGTTACAAAATAGCCACAGGCCTGAAACGTTTACTTTAAAAAGAACTTTACGCACTCACAATTCGGTTCAAAGCGGAACAAAGAAGATAAAGATGGGAGGGCATGGTGACTTGGACGATATTTTGGAAAAGGTCCAATTAGATCCAAATTTCCATTGCTTCACGAGTGAATCTACATCCAAAGTTTGTGTTCAATGTGGCGATTCACTTCAAAATATGTACTTGCTTCCATGCAAGCATTGTTGTTGCAGGACTTGTCTATTAGATATCTGTGATAAATTAAAGTGTTCCCTTTGTGGCAATGAATTTGTTAAAAGTCAAGTTAAAAAATGTAACAACTAAAAACCAATTTTGTATGCATGAATTAACTTTAAATAAATTTCAAGCATTAAATTTTACGTAACGTTTCTCGGAGTTAACGCAGAATTGTAGATTCTGACATCACTATCTCACGGAATACAGAACTAATCTGACAATTCTATATCTTGTAAGTTGTGGTCTGCGATTTGTTTTGTCGCCTACCAAACTTCAAGGAGTCAAATGTCACTTTACACAAAGATGGCGAACGTGCGTGACAGCGATACTTCGCTGTGGCTTCACAATAAATTGGGAATTTCGAATGATTCTTGGACGGGAGGTTCGATATGCTCTCAGCTAAACGCCGAAGTTCTGAGAAACATCAAAGACTGCTTTCCCGACCTCCAAACACAAGTAAAATTAAAATTGTTGCTGAGTTTCTTTCATATCCCGCGCAGGAATCTGGAGGAGGTATGTTTATATTTTGGTTCGCATTGATATGTCCTTTCTCTGTCGAGCTAACGGTGAACACACAGTGAAGCTCGTCTGCATTTAATCCTTAAACGAGTGTTTTCAAATTTGTATTTTTTTTTGTAGTGGAAATTAGAATTGGAACAAATTTTGGATGTGGCCTTAGCTGATTCTGAATTGTGGGTAGCGATGATAGCTGACGCTTTAAAGACCTACCCGTCCACGGGTTCATTAAATACGGAAATAACAGATGTGGATGAAGTACGTTCCATATTTTCAGATCTGGTTTCCGATTTGAGGAAACACGTCCGGAAGCAAAATGAACATACCATCCTGCCAATGGAATGCCATTACTTGAACAAAAGTGCTCTCATTTCGGTAGTAAGTGTTTTTTGTTACATAATTTTCTCCTTTTACTGAATTCAATTTGAGTGCTGAAGGCACTGTTATGGTATATTTTTGCAGACAAATTTGCAAGAGGAATAGAGTTTGTATTTGTTTTAGGTAGGCCACAAACCGGAACTTGTGAAACATTTTACTATTAAAAAAAAGCCCAAGTCGGCTCATTTGAGGTCAGAATTGTTGCAAAAGTCCTCAGATGCAGCTTCGAATTTAAAGAAATCATCGGCGCCCGTAATTCCCGTGAGGTCGAGGGGTATGCCTAGGAAAATGACAGATACAAGTGAGACTGGTCACCATGCTTTTATTGAAACTGTTTCATTTGGTGCCTTTTAGCCCCATTGAAGGGTATTCCAAGCCGAGTTCCCACATCAGGTTTCAGGACCAGCGCTTTGGGTAACAATATGAGTAGCCGACCGACGTTAGCTAGACCTCCGGCTGGAAGGAAAGAAGGTGGTGTTAAATTACTAGATATCGCCGATCAACCACTCGGCTACGCGGCCGCAAAGAAAAGGAAGAAGATGCAGGGTAAAATATTGGTTTTTCTCTGTCTGGTTGATGAATGTACTAAATCGTTCATATTTAAAGAAATGGAAGATGCCAAGAAAGCTTCGGAGACCGCGGCGCTGCAGAGCCCGCCGCCGCCGGCCCCTGGCGCTCCCAAAACTCCGGACTATGCCGCGGGTTTAGGTTCTGCGACCCCAGCCTACGCACCGGCCACGCCCCAGCCCACCATCACACCCACAGGTTTGTTTCGTGGTGTTGCTTAAAATTAAATTTCATTCATAGTCACGGAAACTGAAGTCATGATGTGATGATAGCAGCAGATATATATAAAAAAATACAATAATCATATCATAAAAAATTCTTACAATTCACAATTTCAGATAGTTTCAAAAGTTGAAGTTGGAAAAGAATGTAAGATAAAAAAATAAAATTAGTAGGTATCACAGAACATTTATTTTTGAGCCAACAACATTTAAAGAATGATTAAAGATGTCCGTAATTTGTTCTATGAAGTGGAAGCAAGGTTTACCCCTCTCAAAAGTGTCTGTGTCACAGACAACACAATCATGTAGGATTTTATTCAGGATTTTTATATCAATATATTTTTTACCTTTGGTAAGAGTTGTAAGATTAAGGGAATGGACTAATTTTGCAAACCTTTTTTGCACTTTTTCAATAGGGTGAACATGCTGACTATGGTAAGGAAACCGGAGACAAGCATATCCCAAAACTGACCAGATATAAGAGTAAAATTGGGTCTTAAAGCAATAGAAAAAAATGGTAATTTTAATGCTTTACTACTTATGGAAGTTGAAACTTAAGTTACTATAAAAAAAAACTAGGATTCCTAGGCTCTCGTTTACCCTTAATTGATGTGTTATCCAGATAATATAATAATGATAAAGGAAGGAACTATTAAAGGCGAAGTTGAGGCAGAGCTTCCTAACTTAACCTGTACTTACTGCCTTCAGGAAGTGACAGACAGGTTGTCACCAACAAAAGGCAGTTACTGCACAATCATAATTAACACTTAATTTACTTAATAAAAAAGAAGAGGTAGAAATGCTTATAGTTGGTCTAATAGCTTTCTTAAATCTGTCACCAGTTATTTATGTAATATTAGGTGGGACTTTGCTATTTTATTGATAACAAATGAAATAATATAATTATAATAAAACATTTATTTGCACGTGGGGAATGGGGTGTGCCCTGGGGTCCTTTTTATTTATGGTTTATGTGAAGGTTATATGTTATAAGCAGAATAAATCGTAATTTGCAATTGCAGCCGCTGCGACATCGGTTCTCACGACGGCTCAGCATTCGCCTCAACAAACGCCTCCAAAATCGGCGCCGCCCACTCCCGCGCCGCCTACGCCCGCCCCCGCTTCCCTACCACCGCCAGCCGCACAGCCGACTGGTACGCATCAATACGTCACTACTCAGACCATCAGGCCGGTACCGCCTCTGTTAGCGACTATGCCGTCGGGTCAGAGAACCATTATTACTACCGGTAAGAGAAAGATCAGTAGAGTGGAGACTTTAGACTATATACCGTCTAGAAGCTTCTTTAGTTTTAGTAGGGTTCCAAGCCCTAGTTCTGTTCTAAAAGCGTTATAGGACATGTTTGCCAGATCTATAATTATTAATTTTATTTCCAAGAAAATTGAAATTTCTTTAAATTTTTTTTTTAATTTTTTAGAATTATACAATATTTGTCTATTGTATGCCATTTTTTATTTTGGATACATTTGTTTTATCAGGAACAGTTGCTTCTGTGTAAGATTTTAAGCCCTACATTGGGCAACAACGCTAAGGCATTTAGTATATCGTATTGCACACTAGAGGCGCTGTCGCCGCATTATACTGAAATGGCAGTTTGTATTTCATTAGGCTTGTTCTTTGTGTTTTGCTAGGGTTTTGGTGTGTTTTTGGTGTACTTTTATGGAATACTTGTAACAAGGCGATAATTATGGTGCATGAGTGTGAGATGTGCAAAAAAGAGTTTTAATTTTCTAAATGTTGGTTTGTCCCAAGCAATCTTCCAACAAGTTCTCGTCATTCTAGTTATTCCGATCTTTTTCTATCTAGCTATATCTATGTAGCTGTCTTTTATTTAGTCGGGTGGTGGAGACCACAGACGTCCAGTTGTAAGAGACTGCACAAAATTGCTGTTCTGATGCAAACACAAGCATGTAAAGTGGGCAAAAATTCTGGGTAAACTTCTCAGTATTGCGGAATTTTTGGTATTAGTCTTTATAATGGCAATATCTAAAAACACTTCACATTCAAAAAAATCACTTTTCTCACAAGAAATAAGCAGAGGCACACCTAGTACGAGACCCACGTAGGGGATTCCAGCGTTGTCGCATCCTGTAAACCATATCGCTATTTTTAAGGACAAGAATTATTTGTTATTTTATGGATAATGAAAGCAAGCTTGATTATATGTCTATGGCGGAGGTCATGTATTGAGCGCGTATTTTTTCAATCTCCAGATCAGGCTACGGGCATACAAACTGCGCAGCAAATTATCGGTACCCCTGTGGTCATTACCCAGAGGCCCATACAAACCCAGCAGCAGCAGCAACCGCAAACCGTCACGCATATCAGGATACAGCCGCAGCCGGCTACTAATTTGCAGAGGAGGGGATTGGCCCTTACCGTAAGTTTTTCAACTTATTTTGCCCAAATTTTTGTAATATTTGTACGAATATTTTAAAACTTGTTCTTTTTTCTGCGAAAATTCGTGTTGTAGGTGAAGTGTTAGTCGCAGTCATAACATTCATTTATTTATTTTTAAATATTTAAATATAAATGTAATGCTTCACACATTTTTGGATTGAAGTTGTTCAATATCAAAATTTAAATTTTTGTTTTGTTGCGCGTTTTAATCACCATGTAGAATTTTCGCTACAATTTTATCGATATTTCATTTGTAATGTAATATTGTATAAATTTTAGATGTTTATATTTAAATATAATAAGCCTCGTATTATTCTTTATTATCATTTGGGTAGAAATACAATACTAGGAATTCCAATAGACATGAAATCTCTTTAAATAGTTAATTAATTTATTTATTTAATCAAATTAACAACAATATTGGCGCCCAAAAATACACATACTACAAATAATTAGAATACAGAAACAATACATAATAAGATAAAATATGAATTAAAAAATTTCCTTTACTCATATATTCCCTCAGCAAAAGAACTATTCCAAGGAGTATATTGTTTTACTCACTAATAATTTTTTTAGTGAATGTTCTTATGATTTTTTTTTGGGCTTTCATTACCCCCATGTGCACACAGTGCGCACCCCAAGCGACTTTACCATATAATACTGAGGAGGTAACATGTGCATAATAAAAGGATAGCAGAATAGAGATACAGAATTTCTTAATTTTCCCAACATAAAAGAGTAAAAGAGTGGCACATAATTTTGTGGTTAATATATTATTTTCTAAAAGATTTACTCAATAAAAAACTGACGTCACGCGAATATGCGATTCACATCAAATATACTTAGCTCCAAATTTTGCTTGCACCCTTTTACTTTATTATATGCCATAGTAATAATACTAAATAATCTTAACTCATTTGAGGTGGTATGATATTCAAAGTACTCACTGCGTATTTAAATAATACTACTATTAATAATAAATCAGTATTAACTAACCATTCAGTAACTGGCTTTTTAATTTTATAATAAGGTTTAGATTTTCTGCTTTGGCTAGAGAGCGGGATTGGTCCTATGCTATAAACATGATGTTGGCAAATAGCTATTTGATAGTGAAAGGGGACATGCTCGATAGCAAACAAGCAACTAGTTCAAAAGTAAATCATTAATTTGACAAGCCAAGTTTAAACATTTATATAAACGTTAATATGACAGCAAGCAGAGAAATTAGTTTTAATTTGTAAGTGAAAACCGTACGACCGACAAAAAAAGAGATCAAATCTGCTCACAAATGATAGCATGTCATTATTTTTTTTAAGGAAATTAGGTCGCCACCACACAGGTTAAATCGATAACTTTTTTTTGTGAAAAATAGAATAAGTATCTAAAACAAAATATCTAGTTTTTAGTTACCAACTAGGGTCCTTCAGAAAAAAAATTAGACTGTTTTTACTTTTACATAACATCCTTACAACAAGATAAATAATAACCGATTCTGATTTGAATTTATTTTATTTATTTAAGTTTAGGTACTTCGTATTCATAGTTCGATTTTTCGAAGTATTTTAATAAAACAGATAGACAATTATTCAAGTAAGAAATAATTACAGTTAATGAGACAATTACAAAATCATCCCTTTTCGCAGAGGGAACAAATGCTGGAGGCGCAGGACATGTTCCGGACCGCGAACAAAGTCACCCGGCCGGAAAAAGCCCTCATACTGGGCTTCATGGCCGGATCGAGGGACAACCCGTGTCCCCACCTCGGTAACATCGTGACCATCAAACTGTCCGAGGACCAGGAGAACGTCCTGCAACCGGGCGACACTTACCTGACCATGATGGTCGAGACCCACTTCCAGATGAACTACAACAACGGCGAGTGGAAGAGGATAAAAAAATACAGGCACATCGATAACCAGATAGACCAGTTGCCGCAGAACACGGCGACGGCGACGCTAGTCTGATAGACGGTGGGCTGCGTTTTAGGCAAATGTAATCAAACTGCGCAGCGGCGCGCATCGAGGCGAGCGTGACACTCGGGCGTCCCAATAGGGTTGCTAAAAAAAAAACACGGTAGAACAAAGTCCAACGATTTCGGGGCCTAAGACGTTGTTTTTTAGAGAAGGCATTTTACCACGGGAGGAGCAGTCGGAAAAAGTTATCTTATTCAATTCTAAACTAGAATCGACCGTAAATAACCAGACATTATAATTGAGGGGGAATCAAGATCCGAGTTATGTATAAGGTATAGCTCGGATCAATTAACACTTTTAAAGCACTTTTGTTTCTCGAGTTAAATTTTGCAGTCAATGTACATCTAACTGTGAACGAAATTATATTTACCTCTTTCAACACACAGTACACTACTATATCTTTGCCCTTTTCCTCACCAACCTGTGTCCCCATTCTTTTTTTGCGATTTTAAGAGGTCTCCGTGGCCATTTTTCCAATTGTTTTGTTATTACTGTATGTTCATGAGATGCTGTGACATGCCGAAGAAGATTGTGTTCGTGAATGTAAGCAATAACGAAAGATAGGGTAACATCCTAAAAAAATATTTATTTTTTCATTTTTTTTTGTTTTTGGCTTTCTGTTGTAAAAAATATGCTAATTTGCTAGTACTAAGACTGGCCACTGCAAAATGACAAGTTTCAACGGCTATGATTAAAAGCATATTTGGTCTAGACTATAGGCAGGTTTAAAGAAGCTTGAAGATTCGTTGGGTCTAAGAAGCAACTATAAATTCGACTCTTAGAGAAGAGTTAACGTAAAATTTGAACATCTTTGCTATTTTTTGTGCAACAGAATTTGAGGAGGAAACAGAATGGTGTTCGAAGTAATATCAATGGGGAGGCGGTTGCTCTGTATTTACGCCCCTTTCTTTCACCTTCCCGCCTTTTTATTCTCTTATTGCTTGTTACCGATCAATCAATCGCTACGGTATACCTTTTGCACAGGTTATTAAGGGTGCATAAAAATACATACAATTTTTAGTTCAACAGATTACAAAAAATTTAGAGACTTTCGCGTTGCAATGTACTGATGCGAGCAGTGAGCGTAATATTTTGCATCTAACATCGTTCTTCTTCTAGATACAAAATACGCATTTCTTACCTATATAATTATTAAGAATATACTTTTTTTCCGAGAAACATGAAACATTTGAGAGGCAATCGTTATCATTAGAATCGTAAACATTTTTGAAATCCAAATCAACCTTATCAACCTTCACAAACACTGAAAACACTTAAGAACAAACTAAAAATTTAATACGACTTTTTTTTAAATGAGGTTTGGCATGAGACTCAGTTGTTACCGATCAGTCCGGGTATTTACGGCTGTGAAACCAATTTTTCCTTAAACTTACGATTGCTTGCGTCTCCCCTGTGGTATAATATCTTTTGCCTTCTAGATTATAATATGCGGTTTTATGCGTCCCGGTTGGTTGCAAAATCAAGGTGGTGTACCTGTCAGTGAAGTTTTTTACAAGTTCCTTGACCCGTCGATCTGACTGATGGTAGCGTTGAAAGATATGTGAGACGAAAATTGTGTATTTTTTTCCATTTTCAAATTTGGATTACTTTGTCGTGGCGTTTTGAAAGTTGATTATTTTTAATCTGGTTAAGACGATGTATATGGGAAATTGACGTTTATTTTCAAAATGTCTTAATTTCGACCGTAAACAGAAAACTGTGTTGAATAAACAGATTAATTATTATTCACCATACCAACTAACATATTTACCGGTAACTTACTGAATTCCCAATATTATTTTTATAACATTTTTTGGAAAAAAATGAAATCCGGATAATTTTAAATTGGAAATAACCTCTCAACTGTATTAGTTTTTTGGTATTCAGGTATATCAACTTTCTTTCCTTTGTTTCAAATTAATAATAATAATTTTAAAATAATACAAATTTAGTGTGTTACGAATTTTTACTGGACGGGGAGGGGGCAGTGGTGGTGGAGACAAAGGTGTTTGTATGTTTCAGTGCCTTGGGTGTTTTGAGGGAAGAATATTTTAATTTTGCGTTATCTGAAGCCAGATAATAATTGACTGACTTAAACTTAAGTTTTTGTACCCAGTTAATTCGATACTAAAACCACTTGACTTGACATTTTTTTAAATTTTGAATTTCGATGGGAGACGCTTATGAAAAGTACATATATTAAAGGTGTCATAAAACAAATGGAATGATATATTCCATAATGTCGTAAAGATTGTATGTATGTGTATATGCGTATAGAAAAAAATAATTTCATTTTAATTGTAATGGTTTTTGTAAACAGTCGTTAACAAAAGTTCGCCTGAGTGGTTGTAAAACTTTGAAATGTCACGGAATATAAAATAACCATAAAACTTCATTAAAATGAAAAGGAATTTCACAAAATATCACGTGAAGTTGTCAAACTAGTTCGGGAAATGATATTACCAAGTTTTACGTATTCGTTATTTTTTACTGTATAATTGAAAATTTTATCGTACATGAAAAAATTGTTATCTGAAAAATGTTATAAAACCTGAAAATGTCGGGGCAGTAACCAACCCCGACGGAACATATCCGTAGTGACGTATAAATTCCATAGTAAATTAAACAAAAGTTTTTCGAAATTTTCTGGAGTCTATAATTATTGGGCCGACGTGAAATATGTTTATATATTCGTTAAGACTGATTCTGATAAAAACCGTCTCCTTTTTTTTTTTGCTTATATATTATTGTTTTTACTTTTTAACACGTTGAGTTGTTCCAACTTAAGAGAAGATCGTTTGTGATTCTGCGCTCTGCTGCCAATTTCGGTGTAATTATCTTTCGATTTATTTTGTATATTTTAAAGAGCATTAATTTTTTTCTGCCCATTTGTATATAATTGTCGAGTTTGTAATATATTTATTTTGTTTTTTATTTTGAAGGTTGTTATAGTATGTTGAGATGAACATTTTTGTATATTGTTACAGATAAATAAAATACTGTTTAATATTTTCTACTAATGTTTTTTAATTTCCCCAGTTGCTAATATCGATGATGACTCAAAATAGAAAGTCTAAAAGACGTTTTCGCATAAAAAATACCGAGGAAGTTAGATAAAGCAGGTGTAGTGGACCAATGGAAAATTAAATTTCTAATTTTAAACTTTCCTCTCTCGAACAATTGAATTATTTCTAAATAATTCCCCAAATTAGCCTTATTGAAGAAACACTGACCTGGCACCGATTTTTGATGTCATTTTTTGAAGAATTCTGTCTACTGTGGATGTGGCACATGGCACTAAAATGTACTCTATTGTTGCCAAGTTGTACTCTCCGTGTATTATTGAAATAATATTGTTGTTTGATTAGCTTTGTAGTAGTAGTATTTCCTATAGTTTCAATGCAAATGCTCAAAATGTAGCTTTTCACGTCACGTGTGTTGGTACCTAAGGCGGTGGAGACGATATCGTCTCCAGATGACTGTTAAAAGTCTAAATATTAAAAAGTGCTTAAGAAGCAAGTGTAGAACTTTCTATAGACATCACAACTTCAGTAATTACAGATGAGAGTGTCGCGTCCCAAACATACGATTATAAAAAGCCCCAATGGACAAATTGTTTAAAAAACTGTAGGTATTGCAAAATATAACCAAGAAAAGTAAAAACTTATAAAACAGGTCTATAAAATGGTTTTAACACTACTATTCTACTATAAATGTTTTCGGAGATATTTCCCACGCTTTGAATTTTGACGTTTGTCAATTCTCACGTGATGTCAGTGAATGTATTTGTGTTGTTTTGCGAAAATATACCCAAAAACTAACGGTCGTATAAAAAGTATAGTATGCAACACGTTCGGTAAACTTTTTAACTCACTCGTCTATTATACACTCGCTCCGTTCGTGTCAAATAAACTCGTGAGTCAAATGCTGTTTACCGCACTTGTTGCATAATATACTATTGTTTACGTCTACTACGTTTACATAGGTTATTGCAAGTACACTCGCCGCGAATTGGTTTACGTCCAACGAGTTTTGAGAGTCACTTTGAATCGATTTGCAATTTACAATTAATATGCATCAAAACTTTGCGCATCGAGTTATGCAACCCCTTGTACTGACATGTTTGGTATTCCCCATAAAAAAATCACACTATTATGCGCTTCAATCAATCAATCAATCGATCAATTCAGTATATTAATAAGTGTGCAATTTCTCAGAAACGGATTACTTTTGTAACGATAAGCGGTTGTCAATATACAGTTGTTTTTGCGTATATCCTGTCAAGCAAAAATCATCGACGGAATCGCAATTCGGTAAATTAAATTTATAGCTGCGTGTATTACTTTTTTTATCTTAACAAGTGCACTGCTTTCAACCACTATTCAACTTTCTTGGATACTACACGGCGATGGTAAAGATCCAGCGACCAACAATAATTGACATTTGACAGTTTAATTCTACTTTTTTACAATTTACGACTTTCCCAAGTCTATTAGCATAAAGCATTGCGACTTCGATATCCACAGAGATGTAAGACAATGAAAACAAGTAGAATAGGAGGAACTTGATTATAAAAGTAATATGCTTTACTGACGTGCTCTCGGCACTATACAGGGCCTTAAAACCGTTACATATTTAAAAAAGCCTTCTTATACTTATCCGGTACGGAGGCTGACATGGCTATTGTAACTTTATCAGCAACGTTGAGTACTACAAGGCAAACGATTGCAGTTTCTTCTCCGCATCCGGGTATTGTAGTTTCCTTTGATTATTTTTTATCGTTGATGTGGCTGTTTTCATAGTTAAGCCTACCTTATATGTTCTAGTAAAAACTTCCGAACAATAAGATTGGCAACGAATAACAGCGTAATAGACGTATTTTCGTTGCTAACAGATCTCGGCTTTTAAAAACCTTTTTCATTTTGATAAAGGAGGATGCTCTGACTTTCTCGAAGCGAATTTTTATTTCCACAACAATGACACCACTGATCGTTTATATTTGTGGTATTTATAGGTGATTACTCTTTCTATTGGTTGTTTGTTGGTTTACTGTAAGATGGACGAAGGGGACATGAGTTTTACTATTTAACCTGAATTTTGTGTTGTCAAGACAAGGACATATTGTTGGCTGCACTGGGCTTGCAAAGTATAGGAGAATATGACTGTCATTCGCATAATTAATGTTGTTCAGTAGTAGGGCCTTTTTTACTTTTAAGTTAATAGTAGAGGGTTGTGAACTGACTTAATGTCTCATATTGGATATGTTATAACAGATGTTATTGTATTTCGGAATCTTTTGTTAATAAGAATGAAGCCTATTTGGTTTCTAACATGTCCCGGTGAGTCCATTGGAGACTTCCAGGTTTATAATCGAGGTAGCTCAGAAAAAGTGTTAGCGACTACTACTTGTTCATCAGTTTCATAATTATTTATTTAAGCCAACTCCTGGGTTTTATATTGATTCCTCGCTTGTCTGATTGAACATTTTATAGTCTTATCCACTTGAATAAACTTTATATTGCCTTTATCCCTTATTTTTCTTCTTTTTTCCATCGTATCCAATATTTCCTCTGTCATTCATTACAATCTTTTCGCCCTGTTTTTTTGTTTATCTCCTGCAGTCTTTTAAGGTCCTCCTCCAGATTTTGCGTATGTACTGTCGTAAGTCATGCGTGGGTTATTTAGTAAGATTAACCTTTTTCAGTTTTAAAGTCCACGGTAGGAATTAGACGATTGTGACCTGCTTTTTTTTTAAGAAATGTTATTGTATTTCTCAATTTTTTTTTGCTAATCAAAATGAAATGCATTTGGTTTCAAACAACATGTCTAGGTGAGTCTAATGGAGACTTCCAGGTCTATCATGGAGTAAGTCATGCGTGGGTTATTTAGTAGGATTAACCTTTTTCAGTTTTAAAGTCCACTGTAGGAATTAGACGATTGTGATCTGCCTTTTTTTAAGAAATGTTATTGTATTTCTCAATTTTTTTTTGCTAATCAAAATGAAATGCATTTGGTTTCAAACAACATGTCTAGGTGTGTCTAATGGAGACTTCCAGGTCTATCATGGAAATATTGGAAACCTTATTTTTTCATATGATCCGTGAAAAAAATCAATAGCAATTTTTATTACGAATTCAACGATGTACTACATAAAATTGTTTAATTCACAAAAAAGGGTTTTTATCAAATTCTTAATGTTTTGGTGTGGTAACTCAGTTCTATCTTCTACTCGTTTCAATTGCTCCGACTAAATCTTGCGTGTATTGGCTAATCGCCTGCATAAAACATGGGGGGACAAGAAGTGACATAGATCTTAATATAATAATAACCGATAATATACGCAGTGAAAAGCAGCGGACCTAGGACGGAGCCTTGTAGCATGCCACTATCCACGCTTCTCGACATTTTATTATTATAGACCACACATGATAACATGTATATTTATTCAATTTTTCCAGGAGAAACTGGTAAGAAACGCAGTCGAAGGTCTTGGTAAGGTCACTTGTTGCCCCCGCTCAAGGTCCTCGCCTACGTCTCCCACAACCAGACTGCCTGCATAGTAGAGCATCCTAGTCTAAAGCCTAAACAAGTGATAACTAGTTTTTTTATTAACGAGTAAAAATTTCTTTGGTAAATTAGGTTATCCTTTATTGAATATCGGTATAACTCTGGACACCTTAAAATATTCAAGGAAAATTTCTTCCACCATGCAACTGTTGAGTAATTAAAAAAGGGATGTCGATGGAAAGTCAATAACCTCTTGAAGAATAACAAAATATAATAATGAAAGGAATATGTTTTTTTCAGTCTGCAACACAGGGAGAAACTTACTGAAAAAAAAGGTATATTATTTAGATATTCCATCTGTATCTCTGGTCTGACTGACCTCAAAATATCGCAAGTAATTCTAGTAAAAAACGAATTGTTTTCGGTTGCAGAAATATCAGCGATTTCTTTCATAATTAATTATTTTCCATACATCTTCTAATTCTGGTAAAGTGTGTTCATAGATATAAGAAAGTGACTAACTGATACGAATTAAGCAAAGACCCGGGTAAGCTGTAAGACTGAAATATGGCCGAACAGGTCCGTACCTTGCTTAGAATTTAATTATTTGGGATTTTGTTAGGAAAGATAGTAAATAATATTGATTTATTTATGTATGTCTCATTTGGGCTGGAGCATCTCCTGAGATACACTAGACTCGCACATATTTTGCATAATTCGCACACGATTCAACACACGCTGTATTACACACAAAATAAGAATGATTACTAATAAACTTAAACTAAGCAGTATAGCAAACCAAAGAATATTAAACACAGATAGGTATAAAATTATTTTCTATTACTGACCACAATTTTACCCGAATTTAAATTCCGAACCTTTGGGTAATAATCTTGTTGCATTGTATGTTAATGACCACCCTTGGATAATCCCATTAAAAAGCAATTTGTCACTTTCTTATATCTGTGAACAGACCATAACGACGGATTCCGTTCGCATCCGCATCTCTTTCGCTTGGGAATATGCCACAAGTTTCAATCCAGTCCGTCCCTGGTAAACGATAAAGTCCGATCATCGCTAAACTAAACAAATCCTTTGACCTAACAAGCGAGATCTCACCAAACAATAACGGAAAAAATCGCCATTTAGAGTATTAATTCGGCACACACACAACAACAAATAACGACTAATATCGCGTTTTGGCGTATACGATAGCGTAGTCGCGACGTAAAGCTTTTTCCGTAACGGTCGGATCGCTGCACCCGCGTAAAATAACGCATTAGCAATTTAATAATCGGTGAAAAAGTATCGCCTTGATCGCATGTAAATTAATAACTAAACGCGTTATCGTAGAGGCGACACCAGCGCCGTATGGTGATCTTCGCGGATTATACGTTCGCGGAAGTGTCGGTCGATCTAGCGTGTACTTTTTGCGTCGTCCTGGGATCGGAAATCAAGGAGGCGAGTTCCGCGGCCCGCTTCGCGTAAATTGGCAATCGGTTTTTGCGGATGAACTTTGCGAGAGTTCGCGCGGAAATCTATTAAAAAGTGTGTCGCCGACGCCGAATTAATCGGGATTTTAAGGACTAGTTCTTCGAGGCGAGTAAGTTATTAAAATTTAATATATGAAAACAAAATAAACGTATACATATATGAAAGCAAATAGGTTACATACGGCATTTGGACGATACATTGCAGGATTAGAATTAAATTTCAGATTAAAATAAAGAAGAGGCTTGGGCGATTTATAAAATGGTTAACACAAATCTTTTCGATTATTAGGTAATCGGAAGTAAAAATAAGTGTGGACCAATTGTTTTGACAGAGAATTCGATGTAACGATTACACAGGTCTACAAAATTAAACTGATGTTTTTATTTTGAAAACTGATTTTATGTCATTTTGGTAGGCTGATTTCAAAAATTCTATGTATTTATCCGTATTACGACTTAAATGTTCAAAATTCGGGAGAGCGTTTTTAAAAACATTTATTTATACTGGATGCGGTTTTCTTCAATTTTAGCCCCTTGGATTTTTTTGTTTCGGCGTTTTGTTCGGTATGTAATGCATCTTCCTTCATACTCATTTTGTTCGTAGTTTTCCCTAATTTTGTTGTAACCATTATACTCGTTTTGATTAACAGAATAATCAAAATTTTCATCGCATTCTTGGTTAAATGAAGTAATTTTGCCTTATCGGTCGTCTTGTAAATGAATTGTTTTTTTGTGTGTTGAGATACCTGACGTTGGTGTCGGTTAAGGAGGTTGGTTGCGTGATATTTGATTGGGTTGGAAGACGTTTCGTGGGGGTTAGAAAACTTCCCGATTTGTTGAAAATCGTCTTTGGTTTATTGGTTGAGATGGAAATTGCGATTTTTGATATTGGTTTGGATCTGAAAAATTGTTAAAATCTTTTTGTTTTCACTCTTGTTTGTGTTTTGTTCCCCAACTTTTTTACGATTTGATTCTATTTGCTTTCTCTTTTTTCCTAATCGCGTGCAATGCGAGCCCTAAATTATCCCTTCAAGTGACCTTATACAGAGCTATCGGAGGGTCAAAATGAAATGGCACTTACGGCTCAATTTTTTAACTTGTCACATGCGGGTTGTGCCTTTTTATACCGTCGTTCTGCTTCCCTTGCTGCTGGTTCTGTGTGCTGAAGGATTTGCGAATCCACGTGGCGAGCGTCCAAAAGTTTCGAACTTTCCACGATTGGCGATTTCACAGAAACTCCCAGAAGATTCTGGTTAATTGTCCACCACTGCTGCACTTAGAAAATCCGTTCCGACTGCGCCACTTAAATATTCAAAATTCGGGAAAGCGTTTTTAAAAACATTTATTTATACACAAAGCAAAATAAAGTTTTATTCGGACTAGCCGATACAAGGGCTGGAATAATTAAGAGGAATTTTACAATGTGACAATCGAATAAATAGGGCTTTCGATGCGGCGTCAGCGAGGCGTTATCTTCGCTTAGCTTTGGGCTTCGTCTGCAGTTTGGGGCATATAACCCACGTAACGTTTTTGTTTGCAAAGAAATCGATATTTCTAAAATAATTTATTTTTTTATTCAGTAAAAAAGTTAAATCCTAGTTAAAAAAAATACTCAGACTTTTTTGAGTGAAATCTTCATCTATTTGCCAGAAAGCTGCGTTGTCGGGACATTCGGCTGTGTGTTTTTAAGGGCATATCCCGTTTTTACATCGAGCAGTGGTCCATCATCTGCCTTGGCATCGCGGATCCATTTCGTTACTATACAAAATACATAAATAAATGCAGGGTTGCGTCACACATACTTGAAGCTTGTGTGGTCGTTTTTTTTTTATTATCGAGGTGCAATCCTTTTTGTCTCTAATTGTAAATTGTTAATAGTATTATATAGCTTGACAAATAAATAAATAAAATAAATAAATACACAAAAACGCCTACGTCATCGCACCACGACTGACGTCCTTGTGAGCGGTTCTTCCGAATTCTCATTTTAGTTACGACTCTCTGGCCCGCGCGTTATCGTTCGCCTTATCAAAACCACGCCTCGCTTAATTCTTACGTAAATTTGATAAAGGCGACGGGCGGGGTGGCTCGGAATTGAGTGGCTGTTAAGTGTAATTGAAGGCGCCTAATCTAATCGCGAGAACGTTAACTACAATAATTTGGCAGCGGGGTTCCTTGTAGGCGTTATCGGGGATTGAACATCTGACCGTGTCGATTCGCCTCGCAGACATCGCCCGAGGGTTTCGTCCGCCGCTTTTGTTCCCTTCTCGTCTAGGCGGATCGACGAAGAGTCCTTAAAGACCATTGAGAAAGTATAATACGACCAAAAATATAATGCATTTACTGTATTGACGTTTTAAGTATTTTACAGTAAAAAATAAATAAGAACTAAAAGTTCAGATTTTCACGAAATTATATATTTTGAGATGACAATTGATTCGACAACACCGTGTCTTTATCAAATGTAATATTTACAAACTACCTGTTATATACCCAAAAATGACCATAAAACTTTAATTAATGTTGTTGTGCGAATTTAAATTCAATAAAGGAGAAAAGAAGAAATTAACGAATTTCTGCCTGTTAGTGTAGGTAGATGAACTCCTAGGACGGTCCTGGAATGGTTACGGGTAAGGGCCTGCTCGGCAGGGTGTTCTATATTTCTGGTCTAAGTATAACAAAACCATACAGAAAACTAATAAAGAGAGTGACGAATTAAATGAGAATAATCGGTGGTATAGTCTGTCTCAATCTTTATCGTGCTGGCGTTTGCCCCCAATTATGGAAGTTACCTGCCGACGGCAATAGAACTCGAGTCCGGTAAATATTAAAGGATAGAACAAAGATTTTGGTAATAATATAATTTATTTATTTATTTAGATGGGTATAATCTTATTAAATTACACAAATCAAAAACAATGACACTAAATATATTCAATAAATTCTTATGAATATGACATTGACATGAGACCTATCACATGAGAATGACATTTTTATTCTAAATGAAATCTAATTCTGTTTCACTATCAGAATCGTCATTCAGATTAATTATAATATGATTTATGTTGTTTTGTATAGAAATGTAAGGGTCCTCAATTTTTATAATGTGCTATACTGAATTTTTCCAGCTCCCAATTGGCATGTGATTAATTACATTTTTTATCAAATTTATAACACTGGGACCTTTGGGTTTACTTGGTTTCACAAATGCTCTATTTGGATAAACATGCAATGATATGCGGCAAGACGTAAAACACTGTTCCCATCTTGTCCATCTGTTTTTTAATTGAATGTGAATTTGTTTCGAAACTAATTTTCAAAAAGTTTGGCACTTGTATCCTCACGATAATCTAAACCAAAATCCTTAATATTCTTTGCCGACATCAGCAAGTAGTTTGGGACAAATCCGTCTTCTGACTCAGCGTGTATTATGGTGATGCGTTTTCCTTTATTTGAAGGTGCTTTCGTCTGACAGTTTTGAGCGAAATCAATCCATCCTTTGGAAACAGTGTCGTGTGTATGGAACCGTGTTACATCAGGGTAAATGATGGATCTGTTCTCTAATCTATATCTTTTAATTTCTTGAAGTTAATTAAATTTCCAATCTCCAATCTGTGTGATTCCGTCACTTCTTATCTTTTGTCTATTTTGCGGTACTTAAATCCAGTTTTACAAAAAACTATATGGATTGGGTTCATTTTCTTCTAACTTCTTTTTCAGTATATCTAAGGTAGAAACAATTTCGTTTTGATAGAAACAATATATTTTCCTTATTAGGTCCCGACCATACGGTGAGTTTGAGAACCAATGGCAGTTTTGTGAATGACTTATGCAGTCTCTTTTAGTTGGACTTGTGGGCAAGGTACGTAGCAGGTGTTGCTTTAGTATGAATATGAATATGAATAATAAATTCAAAAATACCTATTCACATTCAAAAAGTCGTTTTTCTCACAAAAAGGAAGAGAAAGTACCTTTTAAAATTTGGATAGATATAGAGGGATATTTCCAAAATATTTGTTCAAAAATGAAATTCTAACAAATAATAATACAAATTAACTGCCCATATTTTCCAATGATTGTTTCAATGTCACGGTCGTCTATTTTAAATATTTTTTGCTAATAGAGAGACTTGAATTTAGTTTGACTTTTAAACTTAAATCGCAACTGCCAGAAAGTATTGAAGATACATAAAAAAGATAAAGAACTTGGACTTATCTGCAGAATAAAAAAAATGAAAAAATATACAGAGCGATTCATTTACAATAAGAAAGTTGCTCTTACTTCCGGAAATATCAAACTAAGTTATTATGTGGTACTTGCCAATAGCCTGGCGCTGTTTCGTCACGGGCTATTAGATAATTTCAATTATTCTCTGCACATTCCGTACAAAAAATTTTATATCGAAAAATGGCTAGAACTAACGTTAATATTTTTTACTGAGAATTGAATTTCGAACTTACTAAAATGAAAAATACAGCGTGTTCTTTCCATTTGAAAAAAAAAATATCATCAATCAAATTTGTTAAAAAGCAACCATTTTTTGGTATACTCTATGTAGCTTTAGGAAGTGTTCAAGGACGGCTGGTCAAAGTTATTCCTGCATAAATCTTACCTCTAAGTTGTTTAACGAAATTGAATAATTTCATTTTAAACAAAGTACTGCGTCTGATATTTTTTACAGAAAACAGAAACTGCTCATTTTAAATATGGAGTACTCCGAAAAAGGCAGTTCAGAATTTTATTGAGAATCCAAATATGTAATAATATACATTTAACATAGCATAAAAAACCTGATATTCACGACAACTACATGGGACGCCTTGTATATTTTAAAATATGTTTGAAAGGTGCACTAACTCCTTGTATAAACTCGTATCAAAATTGACAATATTAATATAAGTCCTTTTTGAAATACGTTATAGTTATTATATGCATAATATACTATTATAGTATATTATGCAACAAGTGCAGTAAACGGCCGTTGACTCACGAATTTATTTAACGCAAGCGGAGCAAGTGTTTAATGAACGAGTCACTTAAAAAGTTTACCGAACGCGTTGCATACTATACTAGTTTTTTGGTACATTTTCTCAAAACAACACGAATACAT